ATTATATATATATATAAATATATATATATATATATAATTTATATTTATATTTATACTAAATATCCATTATCAACTATTTGTCCTTGCATAATTTCTGTATAATCCATAATTTATTTTTTGTATTTAATATTATTTAATATTTAAATAAGTTCTTTTAAATATTTTGAATATAATTTTTTTTGGAGTTTTTATTATTTGTTTTTAATATCCTTCAAAACTAAACTTTCGAAAGATTCAATCCTTTAAATTAATATAAATTTTTTTATAAATATATTTATAAAGTTATTATTTTTTTATAAAATACCATTATTTATATAAATATCTAAATTCAAAAAATGAAAAATTCAATTATATATATTTTATTGAATAACTTTTAAATCTCCATTTAAAGTTAGATTCAGGGTCCATCATAAAAACCCATTTCCAAAAATTTTTTATTCTTTAACAACATGGAGGATTTCTTTTAGCATATTCAAAAAAATTATTAAACCAAAATTTTCTTATTTATATTTTTTCTTTTATTTTAAAAAATAGGTTAAGTAATTTTTTTTTTTAATGTCTATATATATTTTAATTTACCTTGATAAGATAGGCAATTTTCTATTATTAATTGTTCTAAATCTTAAAATATACATTAATTTTTTTTACTTATAATTTAATTAAATATATTATAATGGTATATATTTATATATAATACATATTTTAAAATTATGTTTATATAGTAATGCTTTTTAAAAGTTATAATTATGTTTCTGAGTCGTAGTTATGTGGTTTTGGAAAATTTAGCATTATAAATTTAGGAGGAAATTATTAGATAGGATTTTCCTATTCGAATTTTTCACAAATTTCCTCTAAATAAAATAAAAAATAAAAAATATATTTTAAAATAAATTATTATACATTCTTAATATTAAATCATTCCTACTACATAATTTTTACCTTAATGCACTTTTGATATAGGAATGGTTTTTTCAGTATAAAAATCTTCACAATTTTATGAAAATCTCACTATATTTATTAGAAGTATATATATTATATATAATAATATAGTTTAATAAATATTATATATAAATTACAATATTACTATGTATTCTATTGTTTTCTTCTTGATTAATTTTGTCGTCTTTTCTCATTTATTCTACTTTTGTTAAATTATTTTCTTTTTAAATTAAGTCTTGTACATTCTTTTATGCTTCTTTTTCATTAATATCTTAATAAGGTTTATTTTCTTGCTGATTTAACTATATGTTTTAATATTTATTATAATTTTTTTTTTTATGTAATAAAAAAATTGACTATGTTATTGTCTTCATTCATGAATTTATACATAAAAATTAAAGTTAATTATTCAAAAAAAAAAGATTTTAATTTTGAAAATATAAATTAAAAATAAAAACTATATTAGTTATGAATAAAAAATTAAATAATATATTTTTCAAAAAAAAAATATATAAATATATATAATCTTAATATAAAATCTAACTCTAAAATAATTTATATTTTCTTTGTTTATTATATAAAAAAAAATTTCATTACAATTTATTAAACAAAATGATTTATAAATGATAAATAAAAAAAATAAAAAAAATAATAGTAATAGTAATATATAGCAAAAATAATATATTAAATAATAAAATATATTTAAAATTAAATATATATATAAATATAATATATATATATATATATATATATATATATATATATAAAAAGAATTGATGTTGTACTGCTTCACGAAGCTACAAGCATAACTTACTTGCAGCTTGCCATCGCGAGTACATTAATTTTGGATTGTCTTTTATTATTTATAAAATCTTTTTATAAATAAAATTTAGATTAAATTATTGAAATATAAAATTAAGAGACAATCCTTTATATATTTTTTTAAAAATTTTTTTAAATAAATATTCATATTAAGTGATTTGAACATACATAAATTAATTTAAATTGATTAAGTTATCGAAAAATATAATTGTTATATTATTATGTTTTTAGATAAATTTCTAATAATTTATATTTATAATATATAAATTAAATTATATATATATACATTAATATATATATTTATATATATAATAATTAAAACACTTTATTATCAATTAATATTTTATATTAAAATTTTTGAAAAAAAAAATATATATAATAATAATTATTTAACAAAAATTCAAAAAATATTTGTTTTCTTTTAAATTTAATTTTTATTATTTAAATTTGTCACATTATTTTTGCTTTCTGAACGAATACTTTTTTTAAAATAAGGTTACTAAGAAACTTTAAAATTCGTACAAAGAAAATGTAAATTATTTGGTTTTTAAAAACTTTAATTTTTTTTATGTTAAAAATTATTATTAAAAACTATATTTATAGTATTTTCTGATTTTGTATGTTTATGATTATTAAAATTGTTAGATTTTTAAGAAAATTATTTATTACTAATAGTTAGTTTATCTTTTTTTTATGAATTTTAGCAATTTAATAAATTTTTAAAATCGTATTAATTAATACTATTTCTTTAAGTTTAATAATTTCTTGAAGAGAAAAAATTATTGTTTTTATTATTATTCATATTACTATGAATAATATTTGTATTTGAACTTTTTCTACAACTGAAATCGATTGTTTATTTTTTTTGTTAATTTTTTTTATTTTTTTATTAAGTTTATAATTTTTATTATTATCCATATGTGCTATTTTTAATGCTTTATTTGAAGATTTCATAAAAATTATATCGTTTTAAATCAGAATTTTTATGAGAGTTACTTCTCTATGATAAAGGTTCTTTTATATTTAAAATACTATTGTTATAGTTTTTTTCTTTAGAATAATTTAATTATTCAAATTTTAATTTTAGCTTATTTAATGAAAGATTATTATTTTAATTTGTTTTAATTATTAATTTTTAATTACAAAAATCTAAAAAATTATTTTTTTCGTTAATTTTTAATTATTTAGGTGAAACTGGGAATTTTAAAGTACTTTGAAATAATTATTTTTATATTTTTTTATTATTATTTGCTAAAAGATTAATTTATGTTTATCTAGGTGTTATTAATTAAGATTCCTTTGATTCTTATTTAAAAAAGGATGAAATCGAAATTTTGTAACTTTTTTTGGGATTTTTTATCAAATAAATTTTTCCGTTTTTAATTTATTTTCCGGCATTTTATTAAATAATAATTTCATTTAAATTTTCTATTTTTTTAATTTTATTCTTATTTTTTTCTTTTTATTTTAAATATTCTTAAAATTGCCTTTAATTATTAGAAGATAAATGAGAAAATTCTTATTAAGATATCGATGAAATACTTAAATTATTAAAATCTTTTAATTATTAATCTAATTTTTTTACAGAAACTAATGATTCATTTATTTTGTGTGAATTTTAATATTAGTTTAATTTTTTCTGATAATTTTAAAATGCTTATTTATAACTAATAGTTATTTATTCACCTCTATTAATAAAACTACTTACATCTTTTAACATATTTTCTACTATAGAATCTGAAATTTTATCCGTTTATTTTTCTGAATAAGAGTTTTATTCTAAAAGTTCTCCTCCAGCTATCTGTTTTCGAGGTTTATTCGGATTTTGTTTATTTTCTTCTTCTATTAATTTTACTATCTATTAATATTCAATTCGTCTTTTTTTATCATGAAATTTATTTAAAATTAAGGACTCTTTTAAAAAAATTCTCGGAATATCTTTATGGAATTTATAATATTAAGATAATAATGTTAATTTGTTTGGAATCTCTTTTTTAAAATATAATCTTTTAAAATATTCTTCTTATTAATCTAAATATAAATAATCTTTGTATTTTATTGTATTTTAAGTATAAATATTTTATAATATGTCATTTATATCTTTTGTATAAAAATAATTTTATGATGATGAATATTTTGTGTATAATGTATTGTTTATTAAGATTTTGTACATATTATTTTATTAAATATTTGTTAAATAATTTGTCTTATTGCTATTATTTAATATCTTTTATATATATTAGTTCTTTTTACTCATTCAATTGATTTTTTAAAAAATATTATTTTTTGAAAATATTTATTTATTTATTCGTATTTTTTAAATATTTGTATATGTTATATAAAAATTTATTAAATATATACTAAGAAATTGCAAAAATATTAAATATTTTGCATTAAATAATATATTTTTTTTATTGAAAAAATAATTTTTATATATACTTTTTTATTTTTTTTTACATAATTTTTAATAATAATATATGTTAATATAAAAAAAAATTAATTAAATTAAAAAATTTATATAAATATGCAAACTTTTAAATAACATTTATATTTGCCGTTAATTTTTTTTTTAATAATATGAAATATTATTTTCATAAATTTAAATTAAAATAAAAGAATAAATAAATTAAAATTTAAAAATCATTTACATAAATTAATAAATATATTAGTAAACAAAATATATTATAAATAATACTTACACAGTCTAAAAAAAAATAAAAAAATTCATTAAATTAATAACTAAACTAATTAATTATATTTTAAATAAAATAATACAAAATTAACACATATAATAATAAAATATAAAATTAAAAAAAAAAATTGATTTTATTTAATATTTAGAAATAAAAAAAAATGCTCAAGGAGGGGATTGAACCCTCGACCTTGGGTTTATTAGACCCACGCTCTAACCAACTGAGCTACCCGAGCTTTATATATATTTTAAGAAATAGCAACATATAAAGAAATTTAATCAAAAGAATTATGTTCGCATGTATCAATTAATTACTTTATTTTAAAAACATAATATATAAATAATAAAATATTTATACTTTTTTTTTATTATTACTATAAATATTTACTCTAATTATTTGTATTTTTTTTCTTGATTTTTTAATAAAATTAAATAATTTATAATCAACAAATATTTATTTACTGTAAAAAAAAATAATCTTTAATTAAAAAATAATAAATTATTTTTAATATATGATATTATAAAAATAATAGCAAATAAAACAAATTCAATCAATATAAGGTTTATGTCCTTCCCATCCTTCTGGGATTACAAAATTATTTTTTTCCATAAATTCTAAAGTAGCTTTAGTAGGCCCGTCACTTTCATTTGTTTTAAGAATTTCATCAAATATTTATTTCGATTACTTCCAATCTCCTTATATATATAATTTAAAAGCTTAATTATATTTTTTTAAGAAATCCATATTAAAATCTCTCAAAAGAAGCCTTAAATCTTTATTTTTTCTGATATAAGTTTCTGCATGAAAACATCTCTATTTTACGAATTCCAAAACCGTTTGTTTTTTTGATTTATCAATTTTTTTTTTTTCCTATTCAGATAAATTAGAATCCAAACCTTTTGATTGTGGAATATCTTTAATATTCATATCTATAGTATAAAAACCTATAGGCTATTTTATAATTTATTTTTTTTATTAAAAAAAAAAAGTGATAATTTTACTTTTGCCCAGCCTTTAATAGTAACAAAATCTACTTATCTTAATAATTTTTATAGACTAGCAGAAATTTAATCATATAATTAAGAAGAAATAAGTATAGAGACTCCATAATTTTTTGTAGCTCCTTCAAGTCTACTTGCCATTCCTACATTAGGGGAAAGATAAGAAGCATCTATTTTAAATTCAGAACCGATCGCGCCTTCAATACTCCATCCTATATGTAATCCAAAACCTATTTTTATCTTATAGTCCTTCATTCTTTAGCTTAAGCGTTTATCTTGCCTATATGCTAGTAGTTTTGGTTCTCTGTTTAGTTTTGCATGGATTTTCATAAACGAGATAAGTGAGAAATCTGAATACATATTGATTAATTCAGTATCTTTGAAACTTATTTAATTATCTTTTGATATTGAATATTTATTTTATGGTAATTTCCATACTAATAAAAATGCATCTCCTATATTCTTTATTTAAAAATAAAATGCATACAATTTTTTTTTTTTATATAAAAAACTTTGTTTGCAGCACCCAAATATCTATCAACCATTTAATGTACAACTTCTCCAATATTGTTAACAAATATCATTACATCTTCCTTTTTTTATTTTATTTATAAAAAATAAAAAAATATACTTATAAAACTTCAGTTGCATCAGTGAAATTTCTAATATCGCAAAACCCATAAATTGCACATTTTTTTTTTCCTGCAATCATAGGATTAATATCACCTAAATTTGCCATATTACTTCCAATAATTTCACTCCCAGCTTCCCCAAATCCTAAAGCAAGTAAAGTCCCGATTTTAATAATTGCATTTTCAATAATACTGGTTTCATATTAATCCTCAGAAGCATCAATTAGGTCCTATTCCTTAGCACTAATAGGATTTTTCGCTATTTAATTAACTTTATTGATCATACGTTCAATTGGCCTTAAGGCTAAGTCATTAGCGTCTTTTGAAAATAGTAAAGCTGCAAATGTCAAAACAATACAAACGAAAACCGTTCTTCCCAAAGATAGGGCTGATGCGAAAAAGGTTTAATCTTGCTAATTAAGAAAGGTCGAAAATTAAAGTTGGTCTTAATCTAAAGCTTTTAAATGCAAATAAGTTTCTAAATCATTAGGATGTGCTTATTTGTATTTTTCAACATCCAAACTTAACGCAAAAGGCGATTTTTCGCTATCTCTTAAAGTGTTAACGACTGAATCTTAAAAAGTTTCAATAAATTAAAAAGGAGATGTAAAATATATAATTGGGGTTTCTAATTTTTTCATTTATTCAATTGTCTTTTCAAATGTTAACTTAATATCATTATGCGTTGATTCTTTTTTATAACAAACCATTTCTATTTAGCTGAGGCCGTAATCTTAAACTGTGGGTAGATCAAAAAAATAATCAGCTTAAAATAAAGGCATAGTAAATAATAGTATTAACACAATTATTATTACCCTTTTAGTTATTAAATCTGATAATCTTTTGCTTACCCTCGATTCTTTATTTTCTTGTGTTTCCTTTTTTTTTTGTTATTATTATTTATGTGCGTTTTTATACATTGTTTATGCCATTTTTATCTTTAATTGAAGACTTAACTTGTAATTAATCACAGTTATTCTCTTATAATACTTGTATAATTGAGTTTTTATTTAATTATTGATTAATTATATATATTTATTAATCAAGTTTTTGCTAATTTTTTATTTTTTAGTTTTTTTCATTTTTTTAAAGGCTTTATTTTTCTTGATTTTGTTCATTTTTTTTATTTTAATCAAATTCCAAATATTTTTACTTAATTTTTCTCTTTTTTTAATCTAATACGCTTTCTCCTTGATTTTCTTCCTTTTTTTCTTGTGTTGCCTTATAAAGTTTTACTATTCTAATAAGTCTAACTAATCTAACAACCCTTCCAGCTCTATATATATGTATTTTTTTTTGTTTAATGAAATAAATCTGTATTTAATGTAATTTTTACCTTGAACCTACCCTAGATGCTCTTCCTGCTCTTGCTAAAGATGCCGCATTTGTGGTTTAGAGAGAAAATAAAAAAATATTTATTAATTAAATATCTAAAATCAGAGATACTATTGAAATTAAATCCAACCAAAAGAAAAAGGAAAATTTATATCCTTATTTTGCAAATACACTAAAAAAAAATTCAATAAAAAAAAATATTAATCCTATTAAAGTTATTATATCAAAACCTATATCAGCGTTCTTTTAATATTTATTTTTTTAAAAATGTAAATGTATGTATTTATGTTTACTGGCCCAAATGCTAATATACGTATATCATCACCAAATAATGCATATAATGTTAGAATTGTAATTATACTTTAAAAATAATTATTGTCTAATATTTTTTGAAACAGTAAGCAATTACTTTTTTAATCATCTATTTAGAAAATATCAATATTTTCTTTTGGGATTTAATTATCAGAGTTTATGATATCTTACATCTCATTTTTAATCTTATTATCTAATTAACTTAAAAGATTACTTGCTCTATTAATATTTAAATTACTAGTTTGATTGTGTATTGATTTTTTATAAATTTAATTATTTGAATTCATCAAATATTTAAACTTTTTTTAGAGTTTAACCGAAAATTAAACAATAAATATTAAAATAATACAAAATTTAATATATTATTTTATAAAAAACAATAATTATTCAATTTAATGTTTAATGTTTCAAAACATCTATTATATATATTTTTATTCATAAAGTTAGTTTTAATTATTATAATTTTTAGTTTTAATATTTTATTTTTTTTAAAAAAAATCATATTTTTTTTTAATATATATTCATTCTTCATTCATTTACCCATATATTTATTTTATACTAACAACAGAATTATTTGCTTTTAAAATAACTTTTTTACCTTACCAAATATAACCTTTAAGAAACCCTTAATAGAACTACCCACTTAACAAGCATATAATTTCTTCATTTACCATTTATTTTTAAGCTGAGAAACTAAATGCATTTGTAAAAACTTCTAAAGGAATTTTATTTTAATATTAAGCTGCGACTAGACAAATTATTTTTTTACACAAATTTCTAATAGTAAGGAACATGAATTTTCCAAAATTAACATATAAACATCTTTTAACTAATAGTTTTTTCCATTTTTATTTTTCTTATTCTAATTTAAAAATATTACCTTCCAAAACTGCCTCAGCAATAAGCGAATATTCGAAAAATTCATATCTTTAAATAAATTATGCTGAAGGTAATTTCCCTATTTGTATATTTACAGGGATCAAATATTTCAATATTTATTTCCTTTAAGAGAATTGATTTTTTAAACAATTATTAAATGCAAACTAAAGACATTAAGAACTTTTTACATAATCTTGCAAAAACAATAATATTCTTCCATAATAATACATAAAAGTTATTTATTAGCTTTTTGGCTGTTATTTTAATGTAGGACTATGTACGTCTTAAAATTCTTTTGTTAAATTTATTATACTAGAACATCCTGAATAATCATACCTATAAAAATTAAATTCTAATAAAGTATTATATATTTAAAGGGCTATATTTTTCTTATATTCACATCCTTCATTTCTCCTATATATATTTACAGCTGAAGAATATTAATTCAATTAATCAACTGCTTATTATAAAATTTTTTCTTCATCTTTTTAATTCTTATTTATTTTATTTTATAGTATTTACAAATATATTAAAATAGTATGATATATAGATTACTTATTTTGCATATTATAATGCTTATTTAGATGCTTTTTTAATTATGCTTAAAAATCCTTTTATAAAAGTAAGCATATCTTAATTATCTTTAGTCATTTTTTAAAAAATAGCTCTACAAAAATTAGAAGCTTTTATTATATTAGGAAATGCATTAAATTCATAATTTAGATTTTTGTCTATTATCCATTTTATATAAGCGAAAATAAAATCACAAAAACTTTTTTATAATTCATCTTAGAAATTATACTTATTTTTATCTTCGAAATTATCAAAGTTAATATCATTATATAAATACTTTTATAATAATGTTAAATTAGATTATAATTTTTGTTTATTTTTACATTGCTATTATTATATGATTCTTTTAAAAAAATATTTATATTATTAAAATTTTTTTATTTAAATTATTATATAAGATCATCAATGACTTTAAATGGTTACTTATTCATTTGTGATTATTATTTTTTATGATAAATATTTTATTTTTTATTAATTTTTTTGTATATTTTTCATATAAAATTTAGAAAGTATTTTAATATCTGAATTTTTTTATTTAAAATTATTACTATTTATTAGAATTAATTTTTTTTTTATTTTAAAATTTATTTATTGATAATTATTTATTTTTTACATATAAATCTTTTTATATAATTTTTAATTAATTAAACATAAATAATTTTTGTTTATTCATTTATTCTTACGTTTAGTATTCCTTAATGTCTCATTTAATGGCTTTTATATAAAAGATTATTATTTTTTTATTTATTCTGTTTCATTTATTCTTTTTTATAATTTTTCAATTTATTCATCGAAATTCTCTTTAATAAAAGTTAGTTTCTTTTTTTAAAAAAATAAAATAAAAATTTAATATATGCTTTTTTTTTAAAAAAAAAATTAATTGAAAATAAAACTTTGTTTTCTAAATAAATATTTTCATATTTTTTTTAAATTTCAGATAATTCATTTCTTAATTTATCAAGTTTAGTTTTTAATTCATTAATAAGATTATTTTATTCTTAAATTAATTATTTTTTGAATTCATTATTTGATATATTTCCTGAAGTTAAATTTTATAATTATTCTTACATTCTTTTTATTTCATTCTGTTTATTTTAAAAATAAAAAGTAAAATATATATTTAAATATTTACTTCTAAATTTTTATTTTAATTAGCTTATTGAATTTATTCTTATTAACTAAATTTAAGTTACTAATCTTTTATTCCTAAATCTTATTATAGTATATAAATTTTATCTTCTAATTCATATATAATTTATTTTAATTCAGTATTAATAATTTCATTATTATTATTATTAATTGATGATTCTTATCTTTATATATTATTTGATGTTTTATTATTTATTTTCTTTAATTATTATTCTAAACTTTTACATTATTCGACTTTATAATTGTATTATTTTTGCAATTTTTCTTTTTCTTCTTTCATATTTTCTAAATAAATTTTAAGGGTTTCATTTCTTTTTTATAATTCCTCTTCTTTTAAATTTATAGATTATTTTTTTATTTTATCTTAGGCTAAAACTTCCTATTATTATTAAATTTTTTAAGTATTTTTTTTTTTAAAAGTATTTTCTTATTTTTCTTATTCATCTTATAAAGGATAAGTTTCTTCAGTTTAAGAACCTTTATTTGTTTTTTCTATATTAATTTTTTCAACCTATTAATTTTTTTTAATATCATTAGATTATTTTTCTTGAACTTTTTATGACATGCTTTTTTATAAATCCTATTATGGTTATTATTAATACGTTTTGACATTTATTTGAATTTATTTCGATTCATTTTATAATTTAGTTATTTCTTTTTTCATTTATTTTATACTTTCCAAAGCTTAGAGTAATTATTTTTCTAAATTCTAATTTTCATTTTTCATATTATTTTCTTTTTTATTAAATTCTTCTTCTTTCTTATATAAATCTTGTTAAATTTAACTCTTGTATTCTTACATTAATCCATTCATTTTCTCTTTTACTTCTTATAAAGATTTATTTCTATCTTTAAGAAGTTTCTATAAATTTTTTATTTATTCATGTAGATTTTAATTTTGATTATTTTCTCTTTCCTATTTTAAGTCTTCTTATAGATATTCAATTTTTTATTAAAACTAATTTAAAATAATAAATAAAAACAAAAATATATATAATATTAAAAATATACTTCTTTAATTTAATTTTCTTAAAGTTTAATTTTGATATAAAAATTATCTTTAATATTAACGACTTCTTTTAATTATTTGTTTTTTTAATCAAAGGCTTATTCTATATTATCCATTTATTTTTAAACTTTAAAATCATCATCGGTATTTTAAGTAGTGGCTATACTTTAATTATTTTCAATTTTACTTTCACTTAATTATATTATTAAACTACGAATTTATTAAGAATCTTTTTCTTTTTCTTTTATATAATTTTATTTTAATTCATCTATATATTAATTTATTCTATCGATTTCTATATTTTTATTATCAATTATATTTTAAAGAGTATTTATTGTTTTTTATGCTGCGAAGGTTATTTTTTCATTTTCTTCATTTATTACTTGCTCTTTTATTTTTTCTAAATTTTATGTTTGAATTAATTACAGACTTTTTTTTTTATTTTGTATATAAAAATTATATTTTTTACCTTTTATTTTATTTTATTAAATCTTCATTTTAAATTTCGAATTTTATAATTTCCTATGTTTTTTTATCAATAGTTTCCTTTAATTCCAATATTTCTTTTTGTTAATTTTCCAAATTTTAATTAATTAATTATTATTATTATTATTATTATTATTCTTTATTTATTAAATTGTTAGTTTTGCTCAATCTACTGCCTTTTGCCGTTTAAACTTATAATCTAGTTATGGCTTCTTCCTGTTGTTATTTACTTTGTTTATCATTTAAAATCATGTTTATAGTTTATTAATGTTTTTATCTCCAAAAAGACTCTCTTTCTTCAAATTTTAAATTTGCTGTTTATAATTAGGTTTCCAATTATCTGGCATGTTCTAAATGTTATTTTATTATTTTTTGGAAATATTCTTCCTTTTCTAAAAACATTTCTTTGTCTCTTCTTGCTCTTTATATATAAACATATATAATTAATTTTTTTTTATATAAGAAATTACTTAAATTCTAGTAATTTACGCTCATTAAGTTCCATTTAAAGTTCAATAATTTTTTTTTGTATATCATCGTAATCATCTGATTATAATTTTTATTTTATGACATTAAAAGATGACTATAAAATTTCAAAATAATCGCATTTAACTATTTTATTAAAATTAAATTAAAAAATAGATATAAAAAAAGAATTACTTGCTAATTCATAATTAATATCTCTTAATTATTTATTGCTTTATTCAAGTTCATTTTTCATAGAAGAAAGTTCATTAATTCTTTTATACATCTCATCTATTTTCGCAATATTAATAGCCGGTATAATTTTACTTTTCAAATCAGCGATTTATTCTTCATAATCTTAAATTTTAATTCTTAGAATTTCTCTAGTTTCAATACAATCATTATTAGCTTCGTCTAATTCATTCTCCAGAATTTAAATAGTTTGTTAATATTTATCCAGATCATGAATAAGATTATCATATTTAATATTAACTTGAGCTTAATTATACCTGGAAATCAACAAAGAATGTTGTAATCTTCCAATTATAATATTTTCTTAATTTAGGTCTTTAATATTATTTAAAAACTCAGTATCCTATTTATGCATTTCATTCTAAATTAGCAAATATTTAACTTAATTACTTGCAAATTCATGCATTTCTTTCAAACTTTTATTTTAACCTTTTAATTCTATTGTTTCTTTTAAAAGTTTTTTATTTAAATTATGTATTTATTTGCTTTTTTATTTTGTTTCGCAATTTTGAAGCATATTTAATAATTTATGGTTTAGTTTTTTCGCTTCATTGTACTTTTTTATTTACAAAAGAATTTCATTATCCCTTTCTTTTAATTATTGTAACACTTTTTTATTGATTTTATCAGACAAGTTTAATTAATAGGCCTAATAATCAATTTTATTTGTTAAATTCTTTTCTTTTATTTCATGCAAATTTAGTTTTAATTAAAGTCTATCTTCTTTAGATAAATTACGTATATTTTCATATTCTATTTCTTTTAATTTTCCTTATTATTATAACGTTTATATTTTCAAAGTTATTTTTTTTGTTTTCTCGATTTTAGATTTCTCTACTTTTGCTTATCTAATATAATTTATTAATTCTATATATTCTATGCTTCCATTACTGTCTACATCTATATCATTAAATAAATCTTTTAATTCTTCTTTTGATATTATTAATTTTAACTTTGTAAAGACGCCTTTTATTTTTTTTAATATATATATAAATATAGATATATATATATTTATATATATATATATATATATATATATATATATATATATATATATATATATATATTTATAGTTACTTTTTTTTATTATTAAAATAATTACCTTCGAATTCATCTATTGTAATTTCAGAATTATTATCATTATCTATTAATTAATATAAATCTTTTATATATTGACCTTATTAATGTATAGCTTCATCTATTTTTAAAACTACTTATTTTTACCAGCTTAATTCTTCTACTGTCATTAATAATTTTTCTCTTGAAAAAAACAATTTTCTTTTGTACAATTAAAAAAATTACCTTATATTATCTTAGATAATATTTTCGAATAAAGAATGAAATTCTAAATAACTGATTTTTTAATCTCCTGATGTATCTGCTAATTCATAAACATAATCAACTGTTTCTTAGTCTATATTTGGTAATAAAATTTTTAAAGTATCATGCATTTCATTCTTAGAAACTTCTCCACTACCATCTTTATCGAATGCTTTAAAAACTTCACCTAAGCTTAATCCTGCTTATTAAATTTTTTCCCATAAATCAAATATTATTTTTTCTTAAGTTTTCTTAAAATTAAGTCCTGATCTTCTTAATTTTCTTTGAAATTCTTTTAAATCAATATTATTATTTCCATCAAAATCCATAAATCTAAAAACATAATAAATATTTATTTATTTTTTTTAAAAAAAAACCTAAAAAGTATGTCTACTTCTGTTTTGGTAAAATTCAGCTCCAATTTTTTCATTGCTTATAAAAATTCTTTCGGACCTAAAGATCCGTCTCTGTTTTCATCAATTTATTGGAAAACTTACATTGGTGAAATACCTTTTTACTACATTAAATCAATTAACTTTTGATAGGCAATTTAATAATTTTTATAGGTCGGATCAACTACTTATAACATATTTTTTACCATTTCTAATTCTAATTATAATTCTACTATTTCTTCTTCCATTATACCAATTTTTTTATTTTTTTCAAATAATTCTCTATCACTATCTATTCATTTTAATTAAAAATTTTAATTTAAATTTTATTTTTATATTTTTTTTTTCTACTTTTTAATTTATGAATTTATTATAATAATTCGGTATTTCTTTCTTTTAAATTGACAATTTCATCTTAAGTTTTATCATATTTTTATCTTAAAATATCATAATTATTTTTTTTTATTGAATTTTAAAGTTCTTTAAGTAATTATTGCATATAATGTTAGGCTTTTGATTTCCATTACATTAAACTATGTATTTTTTCAATAAGTAATTATTCCTTATTTAAAAACTCAGTAGTATAATTTTTATAAGAATCGTTTATTTCATTATAGAGTGAATTTACATATTAATATTATCTTGTTACTCTATAATTTTTTTTTCAAAATAAAATAAAATAAAAAAAGAAAAAATAAAATAAAATAAATAAAATAATGTAATATAATATAAAATAATATTATATAAAATAATATATATAAAATAATAACTTTATTAAATTTGTATCTAAAATTGAAACTTTTTGAGCATTTTCTGCGATTTTTTACATCATTTTATCTTAATCATTATTCTTATGCATAGCAACTACATTTTTATACTCATTTAATTCCGATTTAAGAATTTCTACCTAAATACTTTTATCATTTATCTATTCTTTCAAAAGCTTAATTTCCTATTCGAACTACATATTTTTTTCATAATAGGTTTCATACAAATTATCCTAAATAAGTAAACATTGTTCCAACTTAACTTTAATTTCTTCCAATTCACCTAAAACAACTATGTTTTCTTTTTCTTTTTCTGCCATAATATGCATTGATTCTAAATTCATGACCTATAATTGAGCAATTTAATATTTTGCGAGTGTTTTATCGAATCCTCCACTATTATATGAATCGAAGAAATCTGCCGGAGTAATCTATTAAAATTTTAAACTTCTCACTTTTTAAATATCGTCCCAATCTCCAAATTATCCAGGTAATGGTTAAGGTGCTTTTTGTAAATTAGAATACTAACTAAAGTTATTATTAATAATATAGTTTTAATTATTATTTTTTTGTCATGTTTATATATAAATTCTAATTTTTTTGAGATTCTTACACTATATTTAATTAATTCGTTATTGCTTCTAAAGTTTTTTTTAAATCATCGTTTTATTTTATTAATTTTTATATGTCTTTTTCTGAAAAAATGCTTTTTTATTGAGTTTTAATCTCCGAATCAGACTATTATCTTTCGAATTGATAAACTTTTAATTCTAATTAACTAATTTTTTTTTGCATTTAAGCTTTTGTCTCATCCATTTTATTATTTGTGAAAAGTTTATTTTTTAAATTTGAGACGAATTCATCGACTTATATTCTATGTATAAAAAATAATATATATGTATATATAAAATTTAAATATATATATATATATATATATATTTATATATATATATATATATATATAGTATTTAGTTTATAAAAAAAATACAATTAAACTTAAGTTAAATTAGCATATCTTTCGCCCTAAGGATTCTAACCAAATAGATTAGCTTGGATTCTAAGCCTATTTCTTAACTAAATTCTCTCTCCTTCTAAATCTTCCACTTCTTTTTCTAAATACCTTATTTGGGCTTTAAAATCTTCAATTTTAGCCTGCTCTGAAGTCTTAATATCTTCAATATTAAACCCATAATTTTCAGGGACTTTAGCTAGTTTTCTCAAAACTCTATTTTCAGCTAAAATATTACTCATTTTTTCACTCAAATCATTATAAGATTGGACTTCTTTTCCAAATTTTTTTCTTAAATCTTATGTTTCGTGCATTTCCTCTTTTCTTTATTATTCCCATTATTATTCTTGAAAGCCTTCATATTGTTTTTTCAAAGCCTATTTAAGTTCTCTTCTAAAACTTTTTATTTGGGAATCTTTATTTTGGTTTTCTTATTCTAATATTTAAATACGTAAAATTTATTAATTATGCCTGTCTTTAAAATATTCGAATTCTTTTAGTCTTTTTTCAAATTATAGATTTAAAATTGTTTCTTTTTTTTAAACTTCTGATTAGACAATCTCATTTATACGAGATTTCATTATTATGGCTTTTTCATATTCGTTTTGGTAATCTTCGCATTTGATTCGAGTTTGGCTTAAGACGGATTCTAATGCTTCTTTTTCTTTAGTTAATTCTTCTATTTATATTTACTAATGAATTAGTTGTTTCTCAAGCTTTTGGGTATCTTTATTTGACATTTATTATTTTTTATTTATTTTGTTTTTTTTAAATAAATATTTTAAATTTTTTAGGTTTTCTTAAAAATTTTATATTTTATTACAATTTAATTTTTAGAGAAATTAATTTTTTCATTTTAAATTAATAATTTTTTTTTTTTTTAATTATACAATAAATAAGTTAAAATATATATTAAAATATATTTTAAAATATTTTATATTCAAGCCTAATATGACTTCGGTAAATTAGAAGGTTAAATTATATATCCTGGTTAGGTTTTTATTTTAGGTTTAGTTAAATTAATATGACTTTTCATTGTATTCCATTCAGAACCTTTTAAAATAATAAAAAAATGGAAATAAAATATATACCTAAAGGTTAATTATTTAAATATTCAAATTATTCTTTATTTTTATATGGATGTGGAAGTTCTTTAACCAAATGTTAATTGAATAATTTATTTCTTTTTTCATTAATAATAACATTATCATTATTTCCATCAATTCTTTGTTTTTTTAATAATTATATTTTAGCCTATTTTTATTTAGCTAATTATTCTGCACTTGGCTATTAAACTTAAACTACACCTAATCCAGTCCATTATCCCCATCCTTTATACAAAAGAAATTTATTTCTTTTTTTAAAACAAAATAAACTTAAAGAATTTACCTTATAAGGCTTTTTTCTCTTAAGGTAGATCTTTTTCATATTCTTCGTATTTTTAATTAACAAATTCTTTTTGATTCTTATTGTTTTTATTTATTAATATTAAATAAAAAATAATATTATATATATATTACATCATCGTCCACTAAAACATTAAAATTTTAAAGATCTTTATAAATTTCTTACTTATTTTCATCATTGAATTTGTCGATTTCTTTTTTAGAAAATACTACTTGCGCTTCCTTTTTATATTTTTATTTAAGTTATTCTACATTTAATCCTTTAACTAAATTTTATTCATTAAAATCAATATTTGTAGTCTATTTTTTTTATTAGTTTTCTTATAAATGATTATTTGCTTAATTTTTTTCTTATTCATTTATTTGATTTTCTTCTTCTTAATCTTATTATTCCTTTAAATATTTTTTTAAAATATTTTCAGTATTTATGGTTTATTTTTTTTCTGGTTTTAAATTTTATTTTTGATCTTCGTATTCTATTCTAAATTTTTATGTTTTTCATCTTTTTTATATAATTTTCTTCCTTCAAATAATTCTTCTTTTTCCTAATCTTTTTATTATGCTTCTTTTTGTTTTCTTTTTTTATTTATAATTTATTATTTTTCTTCATTATCACTTTCTAATAAATCTTCTTCACTCAAAATATCACTATAAAAGAAAAAAAAAAAAATGTATTAATATAAAAAAAAATACTCTAATTAATCATTATCTTATAATTTTTAAAGTAATTTTGTAGCTTCTTCTCTATATAAGTTTTTTTTTGTTCAGTTAAATCATCATAAAACTTAACACCAATTTTTTCATCTTTTTATTCGTATTCTTATTCACTATTATCTTATAATTCTTTTTCAAGATCCTTTATAGCTTAATCTCTTAACTTAAATATATTTTTATTTTTTAATTTAAAAATATAATTTATTTTTATAATTATAATAAATACTTCATTGTCATCTAAATTTTAATAACCATCAGAAGAATAATCTCCATCATTTTCTATATTTTAGACTTTTTTTAATAAAGCCTGTCTTTAATTATTAATATCTGTAATAGATTATTAAAAGGTTTTTTTATCTCCATATTTTAACATATCTTTTACATGTTTAGATTTAGTTTTGTGTCTCATTCCAATTCTTTCTTTAGCCCTTTCTTCTACTATTTTTCTTCTTCTTATTTTCTTAAGTTTGGATCATTTAATTCTTCCATTTTTTATTTAAGTTTTTTTTTATTTTTAATTTTGTGATAAAGTTTGCTTTTTATTTTCGAAACTCTTTTATTTTTTAATTCTTAATAAAACATTAAATTTTTTTATTTTTGAATTTCGTTTATTCTTTTTTTAGCTTCTTTAGGATCTATTTTTTCTAATATTTCTATTTCTTTTGCTCTTATTTATTTTTCAGTTTTTAAATTTAGTTCTTAAAGTTTTTATTCAATAGTTAAAGCTATTTTATTCTGTTTTAAATCAGTTCCACTAATATAATTTCTAATTTTAATTTATTTATTTTTTAAAATAAATAAATATGAAAACTATTTTTTACATTCTTTAATCTAATCTTGTATCTTTATTACTAAAATTCAAATGATCTGCTTCTCTTGCTTTTTTTATTATAGGAATCCATTTAGCTACATCATCCTTTATTATTTCATAATTAGCTTTTCTTTCAGCTTTTTCTTGTTTACCTATTGATTCGGGTTCTTATAGAAGTTTCTTTTATAATTTTTTTTTTTTTATTTTATATTAATAAAAATACGCTTCTTTTATTCAAATCTTCAAGCTGTTTTTTCAAATTTTAAGTGTTTTCTTACTCATCGTTTCCTTCTATTTTCTAAAGTAAACTTTAAATTGAAAATTAAGATGGGTCATTATAACTTTTTTATTATATTTTATTTTGTTTATCGAGCTTTAAATCAATTTATTCTAGTAAATTTTTGTATTTAGTTTCGGCCATTTTACTATCTATTATTAAAATTTTTTATATTTTTAATTTATACTTAATTTATTTTAAACTAAATATTATTTATGTGTAATTTATTTTTATATATATTTATTAATTTAATTATATTTTTGATTTTTTTTAGAATAATTAAAAATAAATAAAAAAATTATATTAATTAATTATCAAATTTTATTTTTTAAATTATTAATAATTTGATTAGTTTAGCTATATTATTTTTTTAGATTTTCTTATATTTTTAAAATTTGTGTTTTTCTATTTTAATTATATTAATAAACTTAAAAATATTTTCTTTTCCAAATTTTCCACATTTAATATTTAATTCTATTCATTTAAATTTTATTAATAATTCCAATTTTCTTTTTTAAAATTAAAAACTTAATCATTTATTTAAAGTATTAGTATTTAATATTATTAATATATTTAATAATAGCATATTTTTATATTCGTTTTTTTTATTAATATTCAAAAAAGCATTAAAAAATATTTTTTTTAATATTAAATTATTAAAAATGTTTTAATTTTTAAATAACAACCCATAATTTATTATCTTTATGTATTGCAATATTATTATTGAATTAATTTTTTTAAAAAAGAATTTTTTATTCAATTTATTGATTTATATTTTGAATAATTTTTATTTTAAAAAATATTTTTATTCGTTTAAGAAATTTATACATGTATTTTTTTGTAATAAGATATTAAACTATTTAATAAAATCTAATAATTTTCTTTTCTTTTTAATTCTCTTTTTATTTCTTTAATTATTAGAATTAAATAAGTTTTACTTATTAAATATTTTTCCAATTTTATTTCAAACAAAAAAAATATTTTAATTTTATTTTTAATTCATATTACTTTTACTAAGCAATATTTTATTTATTTATTAAAATTAGATTATTTTTTAATTAAATAAAATAAAATTTTAAATAGTTTTTTCTTAGTTTATCCTCAAAATATTAAAGTTTTTATTAATTTCGAATTCTGATATCTTAAACAATTAATCTTAAAAAAAAGAAGAATTTTTATTAAACCTAAAATAAATATTTTTATAATTATTTTTTTGATTTTTGCAAGTAAATAATTCTTTTTCTTATTTTATTTATTGCTATTTTTTTAGTTAAGTAAATATTTCTTTTAATTAAGTCTGTTTTTTGCCTATTTTTTAAATAAATTTACTTCCATTTATAGTAAGCATATTTTTCAATTAAATTATTTTTAATTTACATTATTTAGTATTATCTTTATCTTATTTTTTTTTTTATAAAAATATTAGACAAATCTTTTATAATATTTTTGTTTTAGCTTATTTATGTAAGTTAATTTATTAATTATTAGTTTAAATTTAATTATTTTAATTTTTAAAATATTTTAAAGTAATTTTGTTATTATTTTTCTTTTATAAATTATTTTTAAACCTAAGTTTTTACGTTTTTATAAAGCATATTATATTAAAGCTTTAAAATATTTTTTCTGAATTTTATTTTTTAATTTTTCATTTATTTATTTCTATTTAAATTAGCATGCATCCATTAAATACTGAAAATAAATATATAATTAAATTTAATTAACTTATTTAATTTTCTATTTATACTCAATTTTTTAATCATTTATTAGTTTCCAATTATTAAAATATAATCTAGTTTTCTTAAATTAAAATTATTTTAAATATTAAATGTTTTTTAGATTATTTTGTAAAAGTAATTAAAAAAATTTTAACATTTGTTTGATTTTTTTTATTGATTAAAATTATTAAATTTTTTATTTTTAAAGTTTCTTTAACTTTGCTTAATTTTACCATTAATTAATAATTTAATATAGTTGCTTTTTTAAATGTATATGTCTAAAAGCTTTTATCTTATATTTTATACTTTATTGTTTTTGAGAATATTGTTTCATTTTCTAAAAGGCATTTTATAAAAATTATTTTCTTTTATAAAAAGCTTAAATCTATATAAAAATAATTATTTTATAATTTTTTATAAACTAATTAAAGTAAAGTTATTTTATAATTTTTTCAATAGTTTAAATACCATTTTAATAAAAAATATTTTATTATCTATTTTATATTTTAAAAAATAATAAAAATAAAGATTATATATTAATGAGTTAATTACTTTTTAATTTATATGTTTGATTTAAGTTTTAAAAAGTATTTTTTTTTAATTTTATTTAAGCATTCAAACTTTTAATTTTATTATATAGTTTTTTTTTATAGAATAAAAAAAAATTTAAAAAATAATTCTTCACGACTTTATTACAATAATATTTATAAGAGTTTTAAAGTTTTTTCGTTTATTTACTTTGTTTATATAATATTAATTCAATTATTAATAACATTTTTATAATTTAATCAACTTAATTTTTTAAATATTTTTTTTTTATTTATACACATTCTTATAATTAATATCAATTTGATTAATAATTTTTTATTTAAGTTTTTATTTTTACATATTTTAAAAACTATTTATGATATATTCATATTTTTTTTTTTTTAAAGACTAGCATTTATATAAAATTAAAAAATTTTAAATATTTAATTATAATAATTATTTTACTTGTTTTTTAAAATTTAAAATAATTAATTCTAAATATTTTTTTAATAAAAGCTTTTCGCATAATAATATTTTATTGAAATATCCACAAATTCACTAAAATATTTCTTTTTAATCTAAAATTTTACTTTATAATTTATAATTTAGAATTTTTATTTTAGTTATAATTATTTTAATAAGTATTTTTTCAATTTAAAAAAAAGAGATTTTTTAGCTTAAAATTTTACAAACTCTTCTAAAATCAAATTTTACTTTGAAATTATTACACAATCTTTAAGCATATTAAAATAGTTTTTTTTAAACTTTTTTTATAAAAATTTCTTGCAGTCTAGTAAATTTATAATTCATTTTTAAAACTGTAAATAGTTAGATCTTTTATCATATTCATATATTTTTATAAAATTCTTTATTTATGCTTTATTTTTATAATCCTTTTAAACTTTTAACAATAGCAATTTTTTTATAAAGCAAGCATGCACTTAGTTAATATTTAATATTTTTAAGAATTATTTTTAAATTGAAAATATTAATATATTTATTTTTTATAATTTTATATTTCATTCCTTTGGCTTTGTATTTTGTTGAACAATATAATTTTTTACCATTATTAAAAACAGTATTTTAATTTTTTCTATTAATTTAGCGAAATAAAACTTTCAAATTAGCTAGTTCTATTTTATCTATTTATTTAGTATCGTTTCCAAAAAAGAAAATATTTTTTTAAATTTTTATATTCATAAAATTCTTGAGGGATAATCTTTTAGTCCATTTATTTTTAACTTATTGATTTATATATTACGATGTTTTTAATTTTTGATAAATAAAAAATTGATTTTTAAATTTTTTTTATAAAAATGTTAATTAATTATTTTTATGTAAATTAATAATAATATAAAATATAATAATGTTATAGTTTATTATATTTTAATTTATTTAATTGATAAAAACATCAAAAAATAGTAATGTTTTTTCGATGAAAATGAGTCATTAAAAAATGAGATTTTGATATCGATTTTATTTTTATATTTTTTGTTTTAACTAAATGCTTATATAAAAAATTGAAGATAATATATTAAGTAAGTTTTAGTACAAAAATCGAAATTGAGTAAAATATAAATATTTATTAATAATTTTAAAAAATATATTTATATATTTACATAATATTAGAGTTTGTAAAAAACAAGAAATGGATGAGTGCATTTATATTATATATAAAAGAATTATTGAAGAATATATATTACTGTTTATTATAACTTTTTTTCTTTCATTTTTTATATAAAAACTCAATATAAAAAAATGGTAAATAATTTTTTTATTTTTGATAGGTTTTTGTAATCAAAATACGAGGTTAATAATTTCTATATTGTTAAAATAGGAAATTTAAGAAAAAAATTTAACTTTTAAAACAGAAATAAATAAAGTCGCCGCTTAAATATAAAAAAATTAAAAATTATGTATAGAAAACTATTTATTAAAATTTAAGAACTGAATCAATAATTAATAGTAAAGATATAAAGATACTTTTATTTTATATGTAAAAGTTAGATTATTTTAATAAAGTAATTATTTTTTAAAAATATATATTTTACAAAAAAAAAAAAAAAAATTTTTTAATAAAAATGATTTATAATAATAATTTTTTTATAATTTTGATAAGGCATATATATGTAAAGATTAAAGTTTTATTAAAAAATGTATTAAAGAATAAAAATTATTAATTTATATTATAATATTCAATATTGTAAATAGGATAAACTTATTGAAAAAAAATGATAAAATCGAAAGTATTCTTAAAATACACTAAATTAACAAATTTAATATAATTAAAGATGCATTTCATTATAAATTTTAAAGTGAATAACAATTAAATTTTTTAAATTTTTATTTAAAAAAATAACTTATTAAAAGTTTATATTATTAAATAATTATAAATATTTATTTATAAAAAAATAATATTTTATATTTGAACATGATTATTTTTATGATATTTACATACATTTTTAAAAATCAAATTTAATTAGACTAATAACGTTAAATAATGTTTTTAGATTTATTTTTAATTTCTTTATCTAATGAAATATGCTCTTTATATTGTTGCTTATTTTTAGCCCTCGTATCTAATGAGTAATCTTCGTCATCCGTAACATTTTCTTCTCCATTAAAATTACTTTATTCATAATTCCTATTACTTTTCGAAGCATCCGTATTTTCATTATAAATTTACTTAATATCACTTATTTCATCACTAATGTCTCCTTTCAGCTATTACCTAACTGAGATACTCATTACAGGTCTTGGAGTAATCGGATATTCGAATTATTCTTTATCTTAAATATTGTTATTATTAAAATTGCTATTATTAGAATGATTACTATGATTGTTTTTTTATATTTTATTCAAATAAATAATATTATGGATTGTTTTTTAACTAATTCTTTATAAATCTTGAATATTAGAGTCTTTTAAAGAATCACCATTAATTAATTCTTCCATTATTTAATTAGAAAAATATTATGTGTTTCTATTTACATTTATATGTGTCATATTTAAATTAGGTAAATTTACTATATTAAAATATTTTTGCTCAATATTGGTTTTCTTTGTTTTTGGACTTACATTTTGTAAAGGATTTTTTTAAATGTTTTTTTTGTTTCCATTTTTAAAAATGCAAAGGTTTATAAAATTTCAAAATCAAGTAATATTTTTTCCTCAAAATGCTCTTCTTTATAACATATTATTTATTTTTAAAAAACTTTATAAGGAGATGGTTTAATATTGTTTACACTATTATTATCAGAATTATTATTACTTTATTTTTAATTATTATTTATTTTTTATTCATTTTTGGTAAAAAAAAAGGTGAATATGATCTACTCCTATTTCTTACTTAAAGAGGTTGATTTTTTACATATATAGAAGAATTATTTCGCGTTTTAATAAGGAACAATTCGTATATTTTATCGAGCACTTTTTTACAAGAAATTTATTAAAAAATTTAAAGAATAAATTATAGAATTATATATATTTATTTTGTGGAAAGTTTATTTTTCTTATGATCTTCTTTTTTATTTAAAAAATTTTGATTTTTATGGTGATTTTGCCTATTTATTTTTTTGTTCTTGCCTTTAATTTATGTAAAAAACTAATTAAAAATATTTAAAAGAATGCTAGGTATTATTTTATTTTTATCCTTTATATTTATACCATTAGTATTTAAATTATATATAGACAAAGGTAATTATTATCCAAATAAATTAACACCATGTAAATACTTATTTAATTTAACATGAATTATATATAAATAATTAATATTTCTAAGAACTTCAGATAAACAATAGTAATTATTTTTTTACATTTTTTCATTAATATTAAGTATTAAATTTTATATTTTATTAGTATCCATAATAAAGGCATTAGGAAACTATTTATAAATATTTTAATCGCTTTTTTGTTTCTAGTGATTTGTCATTTATAATTAATAATTTTATTCTTGTAGATAATTATAATATTTATTTTGTTTCTCTTTTTATTCCTCATTAGAATATTCATCTAACTCAATTAATTTTGTATATGAAAATTCAGACACATTATTTTCTTCGTTTTTTTACTCAAACTTAATATGCTCTTCTGAACTACAAATTAAATCATCTGAATTATTTATTTAATGATTTTTTTTATCTAAAAGTATAAATTTAGTTAATGATTTTTAAATTTTACTATTTCTTTATTACTATATATTACTTTAAACTACATTATTTATATAAATATGCTCATTAATCCATTTTTGTTCATATTTTCTTAACAATTTATGCAAAATCAATGATTAAATAGCTACTTATCTAGCACTTTGTCCTTTCGAATTTTGCAAAGTCATATCATAACCTAAATTCAAAATAAACTCTAACATACTTACATGTCCTATACTGGCAGCTATATGTATCAATCCCCATTTATTTTCTCCTCCTTTCTTAAATAAATTGAATCTCCTTTATTTGCTGCTCTAACTTTAGTTCCATTAAACACAAAATCGAATTGCAGAAAGACAACCTTTTTATGCAGCAATATGAATTGGACACCATTTCTCCTCATTTTTAATATTTGGTTTTGCACCTTTTTCTAAAAGTAATTAAGCGATATTTTTTGCAGTATGTATATCTTTCCCAAAATTTGAAAAAAGAATGTGTAAAAGTGTATTTTTTTGATCATCTTGAACTTCCTAGATGTCAACTTTTAAAGTAAAAATTTTTTCGATTATTTAGAGTTGAAGTTTTGATGTGCTATGCAGAAGGTAGGCTTGGATATTTTTTGGTTGTATTACTTTTTTTATGTTTGATAATAATTCGAGAGCTATTTCACCTTTACCTTCTTCTATGCAAGTAGATAACGGAGACAATTAATTAGAGCTTATTTAATCTAATAAACGAGGATGTACTTGAGAAAGCATTCTTACAGCACTTCTACTATTTATTTATATAGCTTAATATAGGTGATTATTTTATCTTTTTTTTTTTTTTCCTTTTATTTAAAAAAACTATTTTTTTTTTTACTTTGTTTCAAATATTACTTCTTATTCACTTAATTATATAATAAGTTCAAACATATTAAAAGGTTTTTTTTTATTAAAACCTATACTAAATAGTTTTTGGAAATGAGACTAATGTGTTTCTTTTTTTAAAAGAAGAGGAAGAGGCGGTAATGATAATTAAAACCATTCCAAACCGATAATTAGGATTGATTAGAGTCTATGGAAAAGTGCAGGAATGAAAGTAAATAAGTTATTTTGAATATATAATTCTTGTAAGTTTCCCAAATTGAAAATATCTTCATTTATTTTATCAATGTTATTGTACGATATATTCAGTATACGTAAATATGTTAATTTGCAAATGGTTGAAGGCAATATTTACAAATGGTTTTCACTCAAATCTAATACTTTTAAATTTACTAATTCAGATATTTATAAAGGAATTATAGGAATTTTATTATTAGATAATTTTAATGATTATAAATGAATGTATTATAATATTTCTAATGGAAATGTTTATAATTTAGTATTTGATAAGTTTAAATTTGTGAGTTTTTACTTATAATGCATTATTTGGGTTGGTATAATTATTTTATGTTGTTATTTTTGTGATTTTTTGTTGGTCTCTTCATATACTTTTTGGTTAAAAGATTATATATTTTTTCCTTTTAATTTAGAACAGTTATATCCTAAAGGATTGTTTTTATTATTTAGAGTTGAAATATTACATTATGAAGATATATTAATTAATGATTATTCACTTTCTGTTATATTACATAATTCTTTTTCTTCTTTCATTTAGTTATTTGATCTTTTTAATTTAATAACAATATTATTTATTTATTATTAATGTTTTTAAATTGAATATAGGAATACTTAATTACTACTTTTTTAATATATATATAAATACATTTATATATGTTTTTTATTTTAGTAAAAAAAAACTAAGCTATTATTTATGAATATTGTTTTTAAATAATTTTAGAATACTACATTAAAAAAATTATTTGATTTTTATATTTATTAACTAAGATTTTTGACAAAAATATTTTGATAATATAACTATTTATATAAATAATTAATTTTTTTAATGAATTTTTATTTATTTTAATTATTATTATTCAAAAATTTATTTATAATTTTTGATAAAATAAAATATATTAAATTTATAAATAACTAATTATTAATAAATATAACTAATTATGTTTTATTAATAACTAAATTAATTAAATTTATGTATATAAATTTTTTCTAAAAATATGTTTAAATTCTTTTTTTTTAAACTATTATCAATTTAACAAAAATTAAATTAAATTAAAATATAATAGAAAAAATTATATATTAAACAAAATCTAAAATAAAAAATTTAATTTCTATTTAAGAAAATAAAAGCAATAATTACAGAAATTTAAGATAAATTAATTAATCTATATTTCCGAAACAAAAAATAAAAAAAAAAAAATGATCATAAAAATATATATTATTTATACATAAAATTTAGAGAAAATACATTCATTAAATAATAATAATTCTGCCCTCAACTTACGGATTAATAACAACATATTCAATATCATTAACAAGCTTAGTTTCTGTTATAATATATTCTTCTAAATTATTGTGCTGCCTAACACTTTTAACTTCATGAATATGTTATTTATCATGAACAATCTCCACTTAATTACAACTATTAAACTAATGCATTCCATTTTACCCTACCTTTAAATTATTTTCATTTTTAAAATTGCAATTATTTTCACTCATATTATTAAAGTAACTTTCCTATATATTACTATGGTTATTATTATCATTTTATTTTTTAAATGTTTTGTAAAAAATCCAACAACAATTTACAAATGTGGCTATCCATTAGTTTCGTCTACAATATATTTACATTCTCTTAAAATATCATATCCATCTTTTCCTAAACTAATGAAATATTTAAGCGCCACACTATATTTTTTCACAAAATCGATTTTCTCATTCCCTACCCAAACATCTACAATTCTCTACATTGGCTCTTTTCTGGGATCAAAAGAATATTTCATACCCGAAACTTAAGGAAATCTTCCATCGTAATTAGGCCATTTAGAAACACCATTTTCTAAAGCCTATACTATTTAAAAACCATTCATTTCTAAAACTACTATTACATCGGCAAAAGGCAATGCTTTACACATCATTTAAAATGTAATTTCTCCTTCTTCAAAAATACAATCTGATCGTATTGTCCCTGCATTTAAAATAGCAATATCGGCTTAAGTGTCTTTTCTAATCACATCGGCGTAGAAATTTCCAAAATTGCTTTCTTGAGTTCTTACGGTACTAAATTAGGTGTCTAAAGGACATTTTGTATATCCTATTACTTTATCCATATCTTCTTTTGTTTTTTGAATGTATTTTTCAACATAGGCGTGAATATCTGGATCTTCGGGTATATCTTTGGTAACTTTATAGAAATCCATATTAAGCGAATGACCATTTTTTAATTAATAATTTCCTTTTTGAGTATTATTGATATATACTTCTATTATGGAATATTCTTTAAAATCGCAACCACTTTTAATTATTACACATTTGTTTTAGGTGCATTTGAAATATTTACAATGATCATGTCCACCTAAAATTAAATCAATTTCAGGAACATTTTCAGCCAATATATTATCATTAGGTATTCTCATGTGTGTTAACGCAATTATAAATTCGCATTAAAGCTCTTCTTTTAATACTTGGCAAACTTCTTTCGCACAATTAACGAATTCTTGATATCTTAAAGTTTATATGTCTATTTCTACTATTGTATCAAGCCATTCTTCTTCTGCAAGTCCTATAAAACCTACTTTTATGCCATTTAATTCCTTTGTATAATACGGTAAAAAATCAGCTACGTTTTTACCAGTACTTGCGTCAAATATATTACTACATAACCATGGAAAATTACAGTTAGACGTTAATTTTATGACATGATCTATTTTATAATCAAAATCGTGATTTCCTACACATGCAGCATCTATATTTAAGGAATTTATTGGATATAACATTTATTAACCTTAATATAATAAAGACATTGTGGAAGGGGAAAATAAATCTCCGCTGAATAATATAAGACTGTTTTGGGGATTTTATTCTTTGAAATTTTTGCATATTGTTTTGAAACGGGAAACTCCGCCGACTGTAGCAGTTGGGTTTTCACTTTCTTAACTGCCGATTTCATAAGCATCATTAAAATGGAGAATATTTATTTTTTTGGTTTAAAATTATGATTGTTATTACATTTTTTTTATTTAATTATTATTTTATTTATTTTGAAGAATAATTTTTTTTATTATATTTAGTTTAATTGTTTATTTTAAAAAATAAAAAAAAAGACAATAAAATAAAATAAAAATATTATATAAATTTCTTTTTTATCGTGATTTTAATTTAATGTATGCTTTATAATATTTTTGTTTTATTAGTTTAAAATTAATGATGTGTTATTTTTCTATATATGAGTTATTAATAATAAATAAAATAATAGAATAATAGAAAAAGATAAAATTATTATTAAAAATATAATTAATTTTGTGCATGAGAATAATATTTTTTAATATACCGTTTTTAAAATTCAATAAATATTAGAATTTATATTATTTTAGATAAATATCTAATCAAAATAACATAAGCAATTTTTATTTATTAATTTTGATTTTATAAAAACCTACTTTTAAAAAGTAAATATAATTTGTAAAAATACAAATATATTAATTTTATATATAAAATAAAATTTATATTAATAATATAAAAAAGTAATTTATTTTTATATATTTATTTGATAATTAAAGCATTTAATATTAAATAAATTGCTAAATTGCATTTTAATTCAAAAAAAATTATATAAGGAAATATCTAAATTTAACCTATTATGAAAATTATAATAAAATAAGAGTTTAAAAAACATATTTTCTCTTTTTTAAAGAAAAAATTGAATTGTAACCAAGTTTCAGGATAATAATACAAAATAATTAGTAATAATATAATCGGGGAAATTTTATACAAAACTTATATCAAGAAATCTAATATAGACTCAATTAATTTTTTAAATATAAAATTTAATAAATAAACAAATTACTATAAATATTGTAAATAATTAAATAATTAAGTTAATTTTAAAATGTATTTATAATTTTAACGAAAATCAATTAATTTAGACATCAGTTTATAAATTATATAATTTAATCAATTGCTTTGCATAAAAAATAAATAAATTTAAATTGAAATATATATGTTTATGGAAAGATATTTTAATTCTGCAAAAATATAATTAATTTTTTTTTTTTTTTTTTTAAACAAAAAATAAAAAACAAAGTATAAAATATAAAAGAATTAATAATATAATTCAATTAAGTTTAGTTTTAGAAGGATTTATATTTTTCGCTTTTTATTTATCATATTAAGTCATATCAATTTAAGTTTCAGTTTTTTAATTTTTTTCTTTTTAAACTTTTAATTTTGAGCTTAATATAGAGGCAATAAAATTATAAAACTTAAGTATTTTTTATCTACATAATTTTTAGAATTTAATTAACTTAAGATTTTTTTAAATTTTTTCTAGTTTTTATTTATCTTAAAAGTCACCTAATTCACTCAATAGCCTTTCCATATTTTCAAAATCTTTCAAAATAATTTAATTTTAGTCCAATCCATAATTATTATCTTACATATGATATTAGAAAGCCTTCATAATTTTCAAATTATAAAATACTTAAATTATTCGACTCATTTACATAAAGAAAGTCTTTCCTCTTAAATCAGGTACATTTTATTAAAATTTATGTTTTATTTAAAATTAAATTTCCTCCATTTCAATTACTAATTTATCTACTCCTAATTATAAAGTCTCATGAGTGAAAAAATCTGTATATTATTTAATATTTTCATAATAAGTGTAAAAATAAGTAAATCCAATATTATTTTCATCATTAAAAATATTATTATTTTAATCAAGTTAAGGAACTTTTACTAAACTGTTTAATTATAAATATTTTATAAAAAAACAAGTATCATTTGCTACTGTAAAAAAACCATCTACAGTTACACTTCCTTTTCCAATTGAATAAATATCTCTATATAATTCAGCAAAATCTTAATCAGTATTTTATACGAAATTCATTTATAAAATTTTTTTAAAACTCACAAAATTTATTGAAAACTTTCCATTTGAACCCATTGATGATTAACTTAAAAATGCTTCTCTTAATAATTTATACCTTTTTTTTAAAAAAAAGTTGATTAAAAAATAAAATAAAAATAATAATAAAAAATGATATACTTATTCCTTCTTTCAATTCTATAAAATTCCAAAAGAATTCTCAAAACAAATCCCGCTTCAATAATTTATTTTTCATTTTTAACTTTAACTTTTTCTTTAAGTTATTTTTTAATCAACATAACATGAACTTAATCATACTTACACATAATCAAATCCACTAATTATTCTGCGTCATTCAAATAAACATATTAAAAAACATCAAACGCATTTTCATGTCTATGCATTCCTGGTCCTTTAAAAAGAATATACCGGCAATGTAAATAGAAATAAATTTCATCTAAGCTAGCTTTTTCGTTTAAAAATTCTTTAAAAGTGACACACTCCCATATACCTGTAAGCCTTGGATTCAACAAATCTAAAATAAAAATTACTCTATTGTCGTCTAATTGTATTTTTCTTGTTCATTCAAAAATCTTATTTTTTAGTTTTTAGTCTATAGTAAATTTACTCATCCATCCATAAATAAAATCTGGGAATTTGCTTATTTGTTTTGGGTAATTTCATATAAGATAAATTCATTGTATTTAGAATCTAATATTGATCTCATTATTCCTAAAAAGTTCTGAGAAATTTTTCTATTTTTTAAATTTTGCATATCCAATTCATAGTTTTTGCCTACTTATTCAACTAAAATGTAAAAATTAGGCTTATAGAGTTAAAAACTGGATAAAGGGGGCTCATTATTTTCTTTAGATTACTCATTTTCGTTTTTTTCAGCCATTTATGATATTGCTTCTAAATATTTTTCCTTTACTAAATCAACATTACCATCTTTTTATTTAAATTCCTAAGCTTATTAAAGTGCGACTCTTATATAAGATTTATCTTTTGAAAATTCTCCTTAAAATGTTCTCAAAAAATTCAAATCATTAGGAAAAGAACCATCATTAGGTACTTCAACTTCTTTACTTCTTGCAATTGAAAATTTATCTAATTTTTATTGTAATATTTAGCATTTATCTCTTAGTTAATTTAGTATTTGCTGCTATTCTTTAAACTTTAAGTATATATTTATATAGTCTTCCTTTTGTAAAAATGCTCTTTCTCGATATTATACATATTTATCTGACAAAATGTTATTTTCATCTATTAATTATTAAATTTATTATTAATTTTAAGAAAGTTTTGAACGATATTATCTTATGTCTAATTCAGCCTTTTATTTTTTATGTAACAAATGTGTAAATAAAATATATATATATTATTATATATAATTTAATTAAATAATAAATATAATATCTTTAAAAATATAAATTAATAAATATATATATATATATATATATAATATAAATATATAATTTATTATAATTTATTTATATTTTTATTATATATATACATATATATGAATATCTGTATATAAATATTTTACTTTTGCCTGAGTTCCTTACAAGCTTGTTATTAAAACTTTTTTTTTTTAAATATCAGTATCTTTTAAGTCTATTTCTCTTTTATATTTTTTTATTTATTATTCAGTTTCATTTTATAAATTTTTGAGTTGTTCTTGTAAATACTAAATATCTGATCCTTTTTCAATTTATTTAAATTTATCTGCTAACTATACATTTTCTATAGCTAATTTTGTATTTTCGAAAACTAAGATGTTTTCTCTTTTATCTTTTTTTGATTTTTATTCATTATTTGAGTCTGATTCTATAAATTTTTTAAAATAGCAGTTTTTTCTCTTAACATTTACGAAATTTATTCCTTTTATTATTATATTTATTACATTTTTTCTTCTTATTAATTGCTTTTTAATTTATAATTTTCTATTTCTTATGTTCCTTTTAAGTGATTATTATAAAGACTTTTAATTAGATTAATTACAAATTAATTAAATTCTTTAATTTAATTTAATATAATAAAAGAATATATATATATATATATATATAAATATATATATATATATATATATATATTTACCTTATACTTTTTCTCCTATATTAACAAAATCAGGATATAAATGTAGCCAGTCTTCAATTTCGGAATCAATTATACTCGTAAGTTTATTAAAATGATTAATTTTGGAATTTATTTCAGGAGGAAATTTATCGAAACCATTTAAAAGTTCTTATTTTTTTCTTTAAATAAGATATGATTTTGTTAAATATTTTTATAAAGATTATGATTTGTTTGTAATATTATTTATATTGATTTCAGAATCATTTTATTAAATTAAAACACTTTACTTCAAATCATTCTATTTTTTATATTTATTTTTTTATAACAATAAAAAATAAAAAAATAAAAATATAATTTACATTATTAATAAAGCCATATTTTTTAGTATCTTAACCTTATGAAACTGCATTTACAATATTTGATATTGTTGAATAATCTCCTATAGTACTATTTTTTATTATTGAATTAGAGCTTTATTATTATTGTATAGGAAAAACGTTTTAATCAGGATAAGGTTTCTTTGTCACATAAGAAGTTCTTTTAGGCAAATAAAACCCTAAATCTTCATTAAATCTGACCTTATTTGTACTAAATGAAGGGAGTGAACCTGATTTTAATTTCTCATTTTAAATTCCAGGATAGATTAATTTTGCTTATTTATCTTTTTTGGGAATATTCTTCATGTTTTTTTTTAAATTATAAATTTTATTTTAATAAATATTTAATTATTGTAATTATATTTATATAAAATTTAATAAGTTATTAAAACAAAAATAGTATTTTTTTTTTTAATAAAAAATAAATAAGATAAACTATATATATAAATTTTTTTATTTATTTATATAATATAAAAAAAGGCAAAGTCTATAAAATAAAATATATATATATGTTAATGAAATTTTCAAATTTATATTTTCTACTTTATTTTCCAAAACAATATTTTAATTTATTCATATATTAAAATTTCTTTAATATAAAGACAAGTCTAAAGACTCATACATTCTATTATTTTAAAACTAATTTATTGGTAAATCTTATTTTTAAGAAGAAAACAAATTATAATTGAATTCTTAATTATTTTAATTGATTTATTAACAATAAAATTAATTAGAAACATTATTTTCACATTAAATGCAAGGTCCATCATACAAACTAGATACTTTAAATTTTTGTCCACAAATTTTGCATTAATTAATATATTTACTAGCTGATTAATATAAAGATCTATATAAATTTTATTACAAGTATTTTTATCCAAAAATATTTATTTTTAATTAAAATGCACCTTAATTTATTTCTATATCTTTTATAAACTTGACATAATAGACTTTTATAATGTCAAATCATTTATTATATCTTATTATATTATTGCATCCTATACTTGTTCGACAGAAACTTATTTAAATTTATAGTTTATGATTTTCATAAAATCTGAAAAAGAAGTATCTTTAGAAATCTTAAATATCTAATCAGTTAATTAAATAATATTTATTTAAGGATATATTTATACACATTCGACATCTATGTAAATATTTAAGAATATATTATCTAATTATTTAATTTATAAGATTTTATATAATTCATAATTTATTTAATTTGAAAGCCTTGATATTAATTATTAATTTGATCCTTTTTTCAATTTCGATTAAATATTTAGGAAATTTACAAGTTATAAAATTACAGATTTCAATTATATTTTATTTTAATTTTACTTGTATATTTTCTTATTTAATAAATTTTTGCAATTTTTATCATTTGTAAATGTATTCTTTAATATGTTATGTAAAAAAGTTATCAATTCACTTTCAAAATACTAAAAACACTAATTTTGTTAAACTAATGAAAATAAAATTATAATAAAGTCCATAAAAGGACTGTAATCAATATATATTTAAATATTATATATTTATTAAATTTAATCATTATAATTATCTTAGTTTAAATAAATTGATTTAATTATTTCAACTATTTTATTCAAGCATCCTATTTAAATTATATTTCTTTTATTTTTTTATTTAATTTTATTTAAAAAATAAAATAAAAAAATCATATTTTATTATATAATTGATTTACATTATAAAAAAATTATTTGATTATTCAAATATAAGCCTAAATATTCTCAATATTTTAATATTATCTTCATTAGAAAATTAGTTTTAGACAAGTACATTAAAAATTTAAGATTAAAATAATTCCTAAAACAATTAATATTTTATATTAAAATATAATAAAATTTGTTTATTTTTACTAATATCATGTTCTATAATATTAATTATTATATTATTTAAAAACAAGTACTTTTTTAAGAAAAAAATTAATTTTAAATTAAGCCTGTAATTTTGTTCAATCTATTTTAGTTTACCAATAATGCTTTGAGTTTTTAGTTTTTTCCTAAAAGAATATTATAAAATAAAATCAAAGCTTTGTATATTAACTCATCATATTTATTTTATTCAATAAATTAATCAATTAAGTTAAGGACGGTGTCAATATCATTAGAAAGAATTTAAGTATAAGGAAGAGTATAAAATAGTATATCATATCCATTCAAGATTATCTCTTTTTCATATTATTAAACCTACTATTTATTAATAAAAAGTGAAAAGTATTAGCCAGAATAAATTAATTATAAAATTAATTAAGAATTGATATGCTTTTAACTAAAATCATTTTAAATTTCCTTTTTAGAAATTTCCAAAAATAAAAAACTCAATAAGCATAAAGTAAAATTATTTAAAAAATAGTTTTTTTAAGCAAAATTTTAGATTATATTAGTTTCATTTATAATATGATTTCTAATATAAATATCATATTTTACAAAATAAGTTAAACATAAAATACATTCTTGAATTAATTCTGGTTATATTATTTCACTTGAGCTTATATTTTAAATATTTTCAAGTATTTCTGTACACAAATCTTTCTAAAATTTCTAAAAAAAATAATTTATAAATTACTAAAGATTTAAATTTATCCCTTATTAACTTCCACTTTACAATATATATCTGAGTATTTATAAACAATTAAAATATAATTCTGAATTTAAATCTTTTAAAATAGATATTATAATATCAAAAAAATTATATGAATCCATTTTTAAATAAAGTTCACTTAAAAATTAAATTACATTGTCAACTTATTCTCTATCGCTTATTAGATATTAGTATTATAAAACTAAAGCTATATTATTTAAATTTTCGAATTCAACTTATTAAGATACTTATATACTTTACAAAGTCAAATTTATATTTTAATTATATAATTATATATCGTTTAATAGATCAAGCTATTTATTTTATTTAAATTGTACTTAAAAAATATAAAATTATATTATTTTACTTTATACTGATTAGAATATTAATTTGTTAAATTTTCTAATTTTTGCAATTTTTAATATTTATTTAGTATATAGTTATTTATTTATTATTACTAAAAATTATTTTCTAAGAAAATCTTTGCAATTATTAAATGAATGAAAATAGTATCTTCTTATTAATCAAAAGTAAAATTATATATATCATCTTCGAATATTTAATATATTTCATTTATCACTGCTTGAAGAAATGTTTTTTTATTTATAATACCTATCTTTAAACCATCTAATTTTTAAAATATGCTATAACATTATGATTAATTGGTCTATTCCTTTCATAAAATATATATATAAATTATATTATATATATTTATTTAATAATAATAAACTTTTGAATAATTTTATTAAAATATATGCTATTGTTTCTGTGCTAATTATGATTTTTTTATCATCTATATAGTTATTTTAGGTATTTCTTTCATATTCTAATTATTTCATTATTTCATAAAATTTATTAACTTGATTCTTAATATTTGTATTTGATAAACTTTACTGAATTTGAACATTTATTTCATTTATAATTTATAGTTGATTTTAAGTTTCGAAGTTATTATATATTCATTTTGTATAATTTCTGATTATTATTTTTTAATTTTTAATTTTTTTCTATTATAATATATAAGCAAAAAAAAAAATATGAAAATAAAATACAATTAAAATAATTTTAAAATTAAAATAATTAATTATTTATCATATATCTAAAATATTAAATAATATTGCTAAAAATTTTTATTATAATTATTATTTTATATTAAAAAAATGTTGTTATTATAATTTTTTTAAAAAAAATATTTTCAATTACTTAACAAAAGAATAAAAATAATATAGGTGCCAAAATTTGTGGATATATTTAAAAAATAATATATATATTTAAATTTTTTACTTTATTCAAAATTGGCTAAAATATGGTATAATTGCTTATTGATCAGTTTGTAAATTTAAATATATAAATATTATTTCAAAAACCATTTAAAGTATTAATATTCAATAGATTTTTATTAAAAATAATAAAATTAATACTTTTACAAAATAATAAAAAATTTTAAAATGTATATTCTATTTAAATCAATAAATATAAAAAAACATCTATTATTTTTATAAATAATTAGTATTTTTTTTAATTATAATTTTTCTTAAATAATTAAATTTTGTAATCTGTCTTTTTATACTTCTAAATCATAAATATAATAAAAAACCTTAAAAAATAGATAATCTATAAATTAGTTTGTCAAAATCATTTAATAAAGATTACAAATATAATTTATTTAATAATAATAAAAAAAAATATATATTGATTAAAAATTGCATTATGAAAATTTTTATATAAAAATTAATTAAATAAAAAAAATAATATAAAAAAAAGGCAAAGTAAATTAATGAACAGATTATTTGGTGCATAAAAACCTTAAGCTCCTTCAGTTTAACCTGTACAATCTCCAACTGTATAATAACCTGCATAATAATAACAATTGGTGGATTTATCCGGATAATCAAAAAAAGTAAAAAACAAAACTTGTTGAAAAATATTTTAATAAAATAAAAAAAGATGGAAAATAAAGTTAAAGAATTAGACGAAACAATAAAATCATTAAATGCAGAAATTTTAGAAAATTATAAAAAAGCAAAGTCTGCTAAAGGAAGTACAGCAAAAATGTATTAATAGAAATGTACTAATTTAATGAAAAAAAGAAAATTATATGAATAATAATAGTAAAATTATCTTAGCTAATAATTTACTTTAGATTAAGTTGCTTTTACAAGAGAAAATATTTAAAATGTTGTTGAAATGGTATTTTATTTATAATATTTTTTTTTAGTTTATAATTTTAATAGGGTTAAGCAATGAAATAAGCAGTCACATAATAAAAATAATTATTTGATTAAGTAAACATAGATGAATTAGAAGATTTAAAAGACGATATGGATGATATGGCTTATGAAAGCAATTATATGAACGAAATGATGAATAGAAATTATGCTTTAGATGTTAATGAAGAAGATTTAGAAGAAGAAATGAGAGATTTAGATAATGAATTGTTTTAGGAAATGGTTAATAACTAAAATAACATTAACTAACAACTATAATAATAATAATAATAATAATAAAATAATCCATAATTAAGTAATAAAGCACAAATGCAGAATGATATAATATAAAAAAATTTTATTTGAAATAATATTATATAAATATATGTAAAAATATTATTGGTTTATTATAAAAATCAATATTAGTTATCATAAATATTCTATTCTTCAAAAAAGATATTAATCTTATTATATATTTAAATTTAGAATTTTTTAACTATTATCTTAACAATGACATATTATTTTTTATTTTTTAATGCTTTCAAATAAATTTACTTTTTTTAATTAAAATAAAGAAAATATAAATATATATGATTTAACTTTTGCATTTGCTCTTTTATTTTCTCAATAAATTTAATCTAAAATAATTTTTTATTTTTTCTTCTAAAATATATTTTTTTTTATTGTTTATTTTGATTTTATAAATTAAACAAATCTTCTTTTTTTAAAGTATTTATTTTTAATGATATAATCATATACTTATTTTTTTATTGTTATAGATATTTTTTCCTATAATAACTCTTGCCCTATTTTTTTTTTTTCAGTCAATTTTTAAATCTAATAATTTATAAATCAAAAGACGAAACAAATTTAATTTTTAAAAAAGTACTTTATAAAAATAGGGTCTAACTGTAAAATATTCACATGCTTTAAAAGTCATTCTATTTTTTTCATTTTCTACATTATTTAATTATTCTTTATAATTAAGTAATATTCTTTTTATTTATAAATCTAATTTAATTATATATTTTACATTTTATTAATTGATTATCATTTAATTATATTTGTAAGTTAAATATTCATTTTATTATTCATATTTTAATACACCTTAATGTTATTATATTTTTAAATTTATTATTCAATCACTTAATTAATAAATTAAATTATATATTTATTTTTTTAATTATTTTAGGTTTGTGTTTCTTTTCTTTTATAATTTTAATCGTTTTTTTAAATTCCTTTATTAAAAAATTTTGAAACAAATTGCATTTATGTTAATTATATTTTTATATTATTTTTTTATTTATTTAATAAAGTTTTTAAAAATTATATTTAATATGTAAATATATTGTTTTTTCTTGCTAATTTTCTTAAAATATACTCTTGTTAATGTTTACTAATTTAAATTTATTCGGCCTAACAAAAAAATATTGTTTTCATTATTAATATTATTTGTACATTTAAATCTGGTAAAAATAATTTAAATTAATTTTAATTTGAGGTTATATTTGTTATTTTTAATATTAAATTTAATTTTTAGACATGATTTTTTGTTTAATTTTGTTGTGATATTACATGTCTTTGTAAATTAAAAAAATGTATTATTTTGAAAAATTAAACTAAACAATATTTAAAATTAAGCAATTTTAAATTTTATTATTTTAAGATAAGCAATTAAATTCATTTAAATATTTTTATTCTTTAAAATAAAATTAATTTATATTATTACAATTAATATTATTTTAATAATAGCAATAATAGCTTATTTTATAACAATACTTTTAATATTTTCATATAATTATATATTTTTTTAAATGCTAATTCATTTAAAAGATTAATTATTAATGACATAGTAAATTAATAAGTTTTAATTTATTAACAAATATTAATACTTCTTTTTTTATATTCTATTATTTAAAAATATATTTTCAATAATATTTATACATATTGAATAATATTAGAAAATTATAAAGTTTAATAAAATAAAAAATAAAATATTATTGATATAATAAAATAAAAATTTATATATAAATATTTAAAATTATAATAATACAAATATTCAATATTTTATTTTATTATTTTTATTTAATGAAAATATTTATTATTATATCAGTATTTTATATTAATAAGCTGGTATAGCACAGTGGTTAGTGCATCTGCCTTGTAAGCAGAAGGCCGTCGGTTCGAATCCGACTATCAGCTTTTTTATTTTTTTAATTTAAAATAAATATATAATCAATGTTAAGAAATTAATTTAATATAAATTTTACACATTTTAAATTATTTTATTCATGTTTGCATTTTTATTTAACATTAATTATTATATTTAAATTATTTTATTATTAGAATTTATTTTTCAAAAAATTTAATAATTATTAATTATAAAAATAAAAATTTAATTTATATATATAATTTGTATTCTTATTATTAAAATACTTTATGATAATTAAATATAGTTTTATATTTTAGTAAAAGAAAATATAATTAAAATTATATTTAATTTTAAAAATATAATAAATATGTATTGTTTATTCTAAATAGAATTAATAATTACAATAGAAAATAATAAGAAAATCATTAAATTTATTTATATAAAACTCATAAAAAAATATAATTGACTTTAACTTTTTTCTAATTATATTATAAATAATTTTTATTATTATACAAATCTAAAAAGTATAGATATCCTTTATTATTATTTTTTTAATTTGTATATCAATTTTTATTTATGTAATAATTTAATACACATAATATTATTATATTGTAATAATTATGATATAAATATCACTTAATTTATCATATTTAATTGCTTAATGTGCATCTGTCTTATAAAAAACAAATAATTTTATAGAATATACAGAATATTATTTATTTATTTTATTTCAATTATTAAACAAATTAATAAATAACATTCAAATATTTTAATTTATGTTGTGAGTTGTGAAAATGTTTTGAAAAGCAATAATTTGGACTAATAATTTTTTATTTTTTTTATAATTTTTAAATTTAGAAATTCAATTAACAAAGAAAAAAATGGATAATGGCATTTTTTTCGAATTCAGTTCTTTTTTTAAAAATAAATAAATATATAATATAAAGAAAATTTTAGAAATTTATTCTAGTAAGTAATTTCATTTTCGTATTTTTGTATACCCGAAAATTAGATTTATAATTTTGAAACAAAAAATGTATTGATATTTAAAATGAGCAACAAATTTACAAAAAATAAATCATATTAAAATTTTTATTAATATTCTTCCCTTTAATACCTATAAAACTAGCTAATACACCAATTTAATATAAAAATAATTACTTTCATATAAAAAAATAGTTAATATAAACAATTAAAAATTTAATATACTATAAAAAAACAATAGCATTACTATTACTAATATACTATTTTAAAGAAAATTAAAAAACTGATACTTATTTAAATATGTATTAAAAGATACAAGATAATTTGATATTAATGCATTTAATTTCTAAACGTTATAAAATAATTTTTTTTAAATAATATTATTTAAAAGTTATGAGTTACATGTAATAAAATTTTCAAGAATATATTTTAGATTTTAATAAAATATGAAAGGGCGAATTCAAATTGTTTATTAATAAATTATATATATTATTAATTTTTGTAGAAAATTTAGATAATTTTAAAACATAATTGGATAAAAATTTAAATATGGTAATAAAAATAAATAAATTAATAATTGATTACGAATAGTTAAGGGTTAATATAGATAATCATAATTTTAAATAGAAATAAAATATTGATAATATTTGAACAATATATAAAATAAATTATAATATTTACATTTTCAAAAATAGAAATGTAAAAAATAATTAAAAAATTGAATTGAATAATATATATATTTTATTATAAATTAAAAGACCATTTAAAAAAATATATTCAAATGTTAAATTATTAGATATCATAATCAAAATAAAAAAAACATTAATTATATAGTAATAAATATATAAATATATATATATATGTATATATATATATATATTTATATATATATATACATACTTTTTTTTATTTATAATTTATATATATAAAATAAATATATTACTATTTAACTTAAATATTTATATTTTCTTTATTTATTTTAAATATATATTTTTTATGTTTATATTATTTCTAATTAATAAATATAATAATTTTTTTTTTTTTTTATTATATTTACTTTTTTTTTTATTTGATTTAGATTCATAATAATATTTTTTGTTTTTATTATATTTATTTATTTTAAAACTTGCTAAAATATCATATCTCGTATATATAAATAATATTGATATAAAATTTTAATTGAAATTTCTTTTTCTAAATGTATAAGATATATATATATATTATATAAATTACATTTTAGATTTTGTAAATAATTTTTATTTTTGAAATTTCGCATATTATTATTATTTAATTTATATTTTTATATTTTAAATAAATTTATTAATTTTGTATTTTTTTCATTCTTAAAATCCATATTTTTAATTGTATATATAAGATGCCGCATATTCTAAATTCCCGTGAGCCAGGGTTAAAGCTTTAATTGCTTCTTATCTAGTAGCTCCTATATTTATTAATTATTAAATAGAAGCCTCAGGAAATTATGAAAATTATTATTATTGTTAATGTTATTATTATTATTATTTTTAAGGTTATTATTAAATTTGCTAATATTTTTATTACTATTATGGTATTTGTTATTAATTTTAGTTCTTAATATTATTTTAATTATTTAATTAGTTTCGTTTATCTTCTTCTTCAAATAATTACTTTTCTAATTCCATTGAAACGGATTTTTTAATATCAGCTTCATATAAGAAAGGTACATCAAGTTTTCTATTTTGTAAACTAAACGTGAGACAATTTTTTCCTAAATCAACTAAACATTAAAATCTTCTTAAAGTATCTAAGCCTAATAAAAAGTCAAGATTAATAGTTTCAATTACAGTAAAAGAACAAGGAATTTTCTATTTATGTTTTTTTTTAAAAAAAAATCAATTTTAAATAAATATTTTTTTACTTAATCTAAAATTTATATATGATAACTATGAATTCTTCCTAAAATTTTTCCTGTTCCAACCCCTGAAGCAATTCCAGAAAATCTTTTATCAACTAGTCTCATTATCCTATTTTTTTTATTTTATTTTTTTTAATTATTTTGTAAAAATACCCGCATCTTTCAGCACATTATTTTGAAATAATTGTACTTTCAGCTCCTGTATCAACAAAAGCTTAGACTTGCCTATCATTAATGCAAATATCAATATATAGCATAGTTATTTTTCCAAATACTTCAGGCATGTATTCTTATGCCATTTCTAAGTTTTAATCAATTTATTGTTATTCTATTATTTCTTATATTTTTTTTTGATTTTCTGGATTGAAAGGATCAGATTCTAATTATTACTATTTTTAAAATTTTAATATTTTTATTTAAAAAAAAATATTTTTTACTATTAATTAGGCCTATTCGATTTTTTTCTTGTTCTTTCTTATTGTTCTTCTTAGATGTATTTCACTAAATCTTAGATATTACTAGAAAGTACTGCTTCACCTAACTTTGGATTTGAATCCATCAAATGTTAGAGTGCTCGAGGATTTTCAGTATAATGTTTTTTACTTTCTAAGCCTCAGTTAAATAGAAACTATTTTAACTATTACTTGTTACATTTTTGAAAATGTTTGCCAAATTTTCAGCTAATTAATTTGATTATGAATTATTATTGCTAAATATACTAGAAAAAAGGTTAGAATTCCTTTATTATTATTTTTTTGTATTAATTATATTTTATTTATTTTGTTAATTACATAACTGTCCTTTTTTAACATAAACGAACCATATCATTATTCTGACAGTAGTTTTGCAATAATTTATAATCTTCTAATAGTTAATTATTGAAATATATTTCTTATTAATCTGATGGAATTCCGAACTAAATAATTTTTTAATTAATTTTTTGATATAAAATAAAAAAAAATTACTTCAATTTCTAATACAACTTTTACATCTTCTATTTTTGCAGTCGCATCAAAATCAATTTCTTTAACTTAATCTTTTTCTGTGATAATTGTGATTTTCATTTTTTATTTTTTTATTTGTATTATTATTTTTAATTTTTTTTATTTATTTATTTTATTAATAAATAATCATTTTTAAGCTAACATTTAAGTTTTTTAAAAAATGCATAAAAGTTAATAGTATCTATTCTGAAAGAAATAAATTACAATTTTATTTATAAAGCAAATCTATATTAATTATAAATTATAGTAATATTTTTTAATTAATTTAATACATTTAAATGAAGAAAATTATCTTTTTATAAAAATAAACAGATGAATTTTTTATATATAATTTAATAATAATTTTTAAAAATACTTATATTTAGATTATATATATATAATTTATATTTTTACTATAATGGATATAGATTAAAACATTAAGAGTAAATTTTAGAAAGCAAGAGACGAAGTCGATCCTATCCTTTATTAAAAATGGGATAAGTAAAATAATAAATAAATATTAAATTTGTTTAATGAATTATAAAAAAGTGAGTAAAATTATATAAGATAGTTAATTTCTGAAAAAGACGAATTTGATTGGGATATAAATCCATAGTCTCCTAAGTGCTTAAAATATGTATAAATAAAAAAAGGAAAAAAATAAAATAAAAAAATATAAGATTGGTGGAGTTGATATTTCTTTTTCATAAAAATACGATAATATAGCAGTAGCTATTTTAACAATATTAGAATATACAAGTTTGAAAGTATTTTTTTTTTTAAATAAAAATCAAATTAACTTAAAAAAAAATAAGGCTATTTATTAATAACATGAGGTAGTTAAATTGGATTACCCTTATATTCCTGGTTTTTTAGCTTTTAGAGAAGCAGCTCATTTAGCAAAATTATTTAATTAATTAAAATAAAACAAACCAGAATACACTCCTTAGGTTGTATTAGTAGATGGAAATGGAATTTTACATTAAAATGCATGTGGTTTAGCTAGTCATTTAGGAGTTTTAATAAATATACCAACTATAGGAATTGGAAAAACTGTTTTTTTTGTAGATGGCTTGAGTGAAGTTGATTATTAAAAAAAATAAAAAAAATAATAATAATAAAGGCTGAAGTAACATACAAATTTAATGAGCATTGCAAAAACGAAAAAGATTATGTCTTATTATAAGGAAAAAGTGGAAGAATATGGGGAGCAGCAATAAAAAGTAAAAAAAATACTACCGATCCTATCATTATTCAATTGGACATAAAATTTCTTTATAATCGGCTTGCAAATTAGTTCTAATTGTTGTAATTTAGAATTCCTGAACCAGTTAAAAAATAATATTAATATTTAAATTTATATTAATATTTATATTTTTTTATTTTAATTTAAAAAAAGGTAAGAGTAGCTGATGTTAAATCAAGAGAAATTGTAAGAAATTTGAAGTTTGAAGATACTTTAACAGCAAAAACAAATGATTTGTAATTTTTTACTGATAATTTTAATAATAGTATTAAATAGGTAATTAATAATACTTAAATTTAATGAAAATAATATTAAAATTAAATAAAAATTAGTAAAATATCAATTAAAAAATAAAAAATGAATATAATTGATATGAATTATTTGATTTATAAAATGAAATAAAACTTATATTTATTTAAAAAATTAATATATAATGATAAAACAAATTTAATTTAAAAAATTTATAAAAAAAAAAAATATATATATTAATATATATAAATAAATATATATTTATTATAAATTAATAAATATTATATATATTATTTATATACCTATTTATATATTTATATATTATTTTTTTATAATTATATCTATAAATCTAAATCAACTAAAATGATAAGAAATATATTAACTATTTAAAAACCTTTTTTTTAAAGAAAAATTAATCATAAAGTCACAAATTATTATTTTTAATATTTTGTTGAAAAATATGTAATATTAATTTAATTTTTATATTTTTTTTTATTATATTTTATAGGATTGCAGAAAAGTCATTGAAAGAGAAAATAGACATATAAATGAAAAATTTGCTAAATAATCAACGACTTTTTTAGAAAGATTTTAAAATAAAATTAAAGATAATAAACATAAATTAATTTTTTTTATTGGAGTAATTTTAATTTGTTAACTTAAATTTGCTTATGAAAGTAAATTTTATATATATTTTAGTTTTTTTTAAAAAAAATATAATTATAATTTAAAGAATTAGTCTATATCTATAAATACAAAAGAGATTTAAAGTGGTAAGTTTATAGAATTATTTATGGAAAAAAAAGTCTATTTGAAAACACTATATTAGAATAAAATATAAATGATATTAATATTCCAGAAGAATCTAAAAAAATATTATCCGAAATATATATATAAAAAGATTAAGAACTTAAGTTTGGTATTACAAGAAAATACTTGAAAAAAATATACAAAGATTTGGGATTATTTTTACAAAAGGAAGATATTAAAAATTTTTATTTAAGATCAAAAAATTAAGATTGTGTAATTAAAAAAAAAATAATAATAAAAAAAAAAATAAAGATTGATTAAAAAATTGCGGGAATAAACTTAAGAGAATTTTTAATTCTATATTAAAATGGATTTTAATTAAAAAAATCAAAAGTAACAGAAGAATAATATAGGAAAGAGTTTTTGCAAAGTTTTGAATAAAATTATTCTTTAATATAGTAATGGGAAAATAGATAATATAAAAAAAGGAAAGAACATTTATATAATTATTTCAATAGTATTTTTTTTAAATTCAAACTTGTAAAAGAGTCAGTAGATAAAAATTGCTATTTCTTTAGATGAATTGAACGAAGAATTAAAAAAAACAATTTTAAGAACTTTCTTTAAGAGAAAAATACTTGTTTTGAATTAATAAATCAATATTTTAGTTTTAAAGCATATTAATGATGATAATTTGTAAAAATAAATTAAAAATATTTATATATAAGTTATTTTAAATCTTATTTATACTAAAAGAAATATTTTGTAATAAGTTGAACCTTTATATTAATTTAAGACAAATTTAATATAAGAAAATTTAAAAAAATACGAATAAGAATTCAAATCTATTTATCCAGATAATTTTTTAGCTTAAATACCATATTTAAAATGAAAAAAAATATATTTTATATAAAGTAAAAATCAAAATATTTAATTTTATTAAATAAAGAAAAACAAATAATTTATCCTTTTTTATTTATAAAATTAATATAATTTAATTAAAAAAAATAACTAACTTTTAAAAATAAAAATAAAATGAACGCCTAAACAATATAAGATAATGTTAACAAATATAGATATGGTGTATTAATAGGAAATGTAACAGAAGAAAGATTTGGAATAGACATGTCTTAAAGATATATAAACGAAAAACTTCCAAATTCAACAATGAGGGATACATTTGGTATTTAAAATAGTGCTTTAGTAGCTGAAAAATCTAGTATAACTGATGAGGAAAAAGAGTTTTAGGATCATGTTTTATCTGTAAGGAATGGAGTTTAATAACATATATTATTTGGGCATGGAAGCAATTTTCAAAAAAGGGAATACGGAACAAGTTATGATTTATCTTATAATTAACATATTAAACCTTAAGTTTAAATTCATTCTAAATTTACACATGAATTGGAAAAAACATCGAGAGTGTTTAATAAAAATATTATTTATGAAAAAAACATTAAGAAACTATTCCTGAAATAGGTTAAAAATCAACGGGACCAGCAGGAAAAGCTAGAGCATATAATGAGTTTACTAAATAATACGACTCTTCTCATATGAAAATTCCTTTTAGAAAATAATGATAATATTTTTGGATTTTTTATGTTTATGTTTATTTTTGTTTTATTTTTTTTATTATTGTCATTCAATTGCTTTATAAAATATCATTTTTTTTTAGATTTGAGATTATAAAAATAAAAAAATAACTTATTATATATATTTTTTATATTAGTGTTCTTATTACTCTTTTTATATTAAAAATAAATTTAAATTACAAACATTTAATTTTATCAAAAGTATTTATTAATTCATTAATAAAATAATAATAATATTATAATATTTTAAACTCAATTTTTAATATAAATTCCTCTTAACTCATTTATATTTTTAATATTTCTGCCATCAAGAATTTATTAAGTGCCTTCTAATAATTCTTCAACAAACTATGGTCCCTAAACAATAATAAATAAAAAATTATAAGTGTAAATAAATAAATAAAAAAAGTTACTTTATACTTTAACTCTTAACTTACTTAAACAGCCCAAGCTCCATTTTTTATTCTTTCAATAACATCAGAAGGACTTTCAATTTTTCCACAATTAATAATAGGAAGTTTTCCTTTTTTTTATAATTTTTTTTATAAACATAAAAAAATAATTAGAGAAAGAATTAAAACCTTATGTTAAATTTGCAATTTATTTTAAGTTGTTTAAATTATTAGTTTCCAAAACTAAACCTTCTAATCCTAATCTTTAATAATTTTTAGCCAAAAAATAGATTTAAGCAAAAGACTATTCAGAATCACTTACTTTAATATAAATTTAAGCTGGGTTAGAATTAAAATTATTTTTATAATAATTGAAATAATTAATAAACTAAAACAATTCGTCTTGCTTATCGAACAATTCTTATTCAATAATGGCATTATTAGCAATAGTTTCATTTCTTTATTTTTTATTTCCCCAAGTAATTCTATCAAATGTTTTTCTTCTAACATATATTATATAGTTTCAGCATTTGTAAAATTTAACACAATATAGTCAGCCAAATCATACATTTCTGAACAACAATTAATAAAATCGAGTTTCGCCAAATAAGGAGTTAATTCTTTTACTTCGTCACTAACTTTTATATTTACTCCTACAGGGTATTTATTTTTCTCATCTTTATATCTATGCTTAAAGCTTTGCATTCTTGCTTTGGAAAAAAGAATACTATTAGTAGTATTTTTTATTCCTTGTAAATGATATGCTGATGCTAATTATAAAGGACCTATTTCCACAAAACCTAGTCCTATATCAAATAATGATTAGAGGGCTTTTCCTTATTCTTCATAACCTTCGCCTAATCCTATTATGTTGGGTAAATATATTACTCCTAAATCTCCGTTTAATTATTTATTATATTTTTCTTTTTATTATATTGTGTAAAATAAATCTAAGTTCATTATTAATTTGGTTATTTTATAAATATTATTTTTTTGGTTTTCGGGGATTAGTTTATGGATTTTTTCGTAAATATTCGCTGAAAAATCAACATAATGAAATTTTTAGTTTACGTAATAAACTCCCATTAATACAAATGGAAACGATTTTGCGAATGCAGGTAGCATATTATTTTTTAAAATTTATAATTCTTTTCTTTTATATTATTTTATTAATATCTTTTAATTTGTTTTATTTATAATAGAAATAAATAAAAAATTTTGATAGTTATAAAAAAAAGGTAAAAAAGAGATAAATATTTTTTTTTTTAAATAAACTTTTTTTTATTATAAAAAAATGGAAGACATATTTTTTGATATTTTTAAAGAAAAAGCATATTATAAAGGAGATAATATATCAAAAAAAAGTTTATTTTTTAAATACATTTCTAATAGTTCTAAATAAACAACACATCATTTGTTGGAATAATGTGAAGACTTAAAAGGAATTGTTTCAGTTGAAGATTTCGTACATAAAATAACATAAACTTTAAACGCACTTCATAATGATAATTAAGATGATTAAAACGAAATAGATTATTTATTAGATTATTAAAATAAATTAGAATTTATATTAAAATAAATGGATACATTAAAATTAAATTAAAATAATAATATAGTTGAAATGTATTATATTCGAAAAAATAATTAAATATAAAAGGAAATATTTGATAAATACAAGTTAAAAAAAATTAATAAAATTATATATTTATTAAAATTAAAAAAAGAATAAAATTTAAAGCATCGAATATTTAATAGGGATAATTTTTAGAAAATAGTTTGCTTTTTAAAAGTATTTATGATTTTGAAAGTAATTAAATATGGCGAGAAAATATTAAAATAGATTCCTTAAGCCACTTTTGCATATCGATAGAAGGAAAGCTAAGGAAAAATAATGAAAACAAAGAAGAAGAGTTAGAAAATCAATATAAATAACTTCAGTAAATATAATTGGCAATTAGTAAAATATTCTTAAGTATACATCCTTAGTAGTTCGAATAAGAAATAATTTAAACTTAACTATAGGTTTATTTTTCAATTGAAGGAATTGAATAATGTGTTTAATTAGGTTTTAACTTATATTTAGATAAAATCTAAAGAAATTTAGCTTTGAAATATCTACTTTAATATTGTTAGTAAAATATTTAATAATTGGATTAGAAAATTGGGGAAAGAATAAAAGTTATAATAGATATATTGGAGCCTTTTGCAGAAAAATTAGAATATAAAATTTCAAAAGGAATTTGTTTTAAAAAAGAACCTAGAAATGGGTGTGATATTAATATAAAAAATTGTGAAATCATTTGATAATTTAAAAATTTAAAAATTAATTAAATATAAATAGTATACATATATATATAATTGAAAAAAAACTAAAACTATTTAATATATATATAATTATTTATAAATACATTTCTTTAAAAGAATCATATATATTGCAATTATTTAAAATTATTTTAAATTTTTTTATTATTATTTTCTTTTTAAATATTTTTTTATTTAAAAAAAAAGAAAGTAAATAAATTAAATATAAAGAAATAAAAATGAAAAGATTTATTTTTATTTTATTTATTTTATTTTTTTAATTATAATGTAATTGTATTTAAGAAGATTCATTTAGTTAAATATAGTTTAGTACTTAAATTTTGAAAGTTATAACATTTTATTGTTTAAATGAATCCTAATCTTGTGTTTTAGACCCAGTATGCAGAAGCGATTTCTTGAAATGCTAAAATAATGAAGATTTCTTAAAATGCTTTGCTCCTTCAAACAATTTATATGTTAACAAAGTGGTAGAATGTGCTAAGAGACATCATAAATGAACTATAATTAAATATATAATAAAAATATAAATAATTTTTATCTTCTATTATAATAAAAATAAAAAAAGAATTTGATGATATATTATAATATTTATTTTATATTACAATAATTAATATTGAAAATTTATAAAATTTTAAATTAAAATCAACTAAAAAATAGAATAATTTAAATTTATATTTACTTATAAAAATACAATAATATTATCTTGATATATAATTTATAATAAAATTAATTAGATATAATAAAGATTTTTAATTGTTTGAAGTTTATTTTATTTTTTAAATAAATTATAATAGTAGAAATTTTATTATCAAAAATAGAAATTGTATTATTAAAAATAGTAATTTTATTATTAAAATCAAAATAATAATATATTATATGAAATTTTTTTAAACACAAAAAAACAATCAATTTCTACTTAAATTTTATAGTCTAAATAAAAATTTTATTTTATATCTAAATTATTTTAATAATATTTAGAAAGGTTAATTAATTCAAAATTGTAGATGCTATCATATTTAAATAAAATATATTATAAAAATTATTCGTAAAAAATAAATATATTTATATATTCTTAAAATATATTGTCAATAAAATTTAATAATTAATAGTTTTATTTTAATTTTTTTATAATAAAATATCTTTTTTTTATTATTATTAAAACAAAATCAAATTTTACTAACACTTATAATATAAATTATAGTTAAAGAGATTTAAATTAATATAATTTTCTTTTTTAACTATTAATAGTATAATATAATTTATAATTTAATTAAAAAAATTAAATAATTAAATATTATATAATTATGAAAACAATTAAATAATATATATTTAAACAAAAAACAAAAATTAATATTTTTATCTTATTTTTATTTTTAATTTAAATATTAATATTTATTAAAATTAAAATTTTCTTTTCTTTTTAATTATAAAATAAAAAATAAAATTGATTAATATTAATTAAATAAAAAAAGAGATTTAAATCATAATAAAAAAATTATTTCATAATTTCAAATGATTCATAGAAATAAATTTTTTGATATATATTATATTATATTATATATATTATATTATATTATATTATATATTATATTATATTATATATTGTAAAATGTAAAATAAATATTAATTTATTATATTTTTTTTTAATTAATAAGAATTGAAATTCATTATTAAATTATAAATATTAAATAAAGAAAAGGTATACAATATATTAATATTTCGACAAAAGAAAAAATATATTATAACTAGTATCTAAAAGAAAATCTTATAAAAATAATATTATATTTTTTAAATATAAAAAATAATAATTGCAAAAATTTTATTTATATGTATTTTATATATTATTTTTATATTTATTTAATTGATTATTTTGATTTATTTTTAACCCTTTTTATTTGTAGATAAAGGCTGCAAAAAAACTTTTAATAAATTATTCTTCTGCTAAAAAAATATTTATTACAATATAATATAACAAAGATTAGCAAGACAATATAATAAAATATTTTAAAGATCAAGCTTTCTGTTATATAATTATTAATAAAAATAAAATAATTATAGATTTTAAAAATATACAACTATTAAAAAATATTAAAAATAATGTCAAGAGTTTACTAAAACTATTAAAAAAATGCCTATATAAAAGAATCAAAAATATTATTTTAAAAAATACAATAAAAATAAATAAAATAGATAATAATTTATATCATTAAAAAGTATTTGTAAGTTTTCCTATTTATATATAATAAGATAATTTATTTTAAGATAATTATAAAT